TAAATAATTTTTAAATATGTACTATTTTTCTTTATTTTACTACTTTACAAATAATGTTTTTGTGTATATCCCCAAATTATATTTTATTTTCATTGATATTACAGTCTAAATACGAGTACAAAGCAATTTGTATTACAAATGCATCTGTTGCAGCGATATTTAACATTATAAATGTTAAATATCTAGCGCTATAATTTGCAATATATGTAATTTATAGCGCTTTTCTAATTTACTTTTCAATTTTTATTACGCAATTTCCAGTGTTATCAATATTTTAGAAAATAAAAGTATTTTTTCGATAAAAACTCAAAGCAATTCTATATTAAAGGAGCGAGAGAGAAAACACTAAAGCGTGCGAGAGAGACAGCTACTGTTTGACGATGAGATCATCATGCTCTCCCCTTCCTTTGTCGCCCCTCGCCTACAAGCTGTTTCTAGCTCCCCCTTTACTTCGTCGCCCCTCGCCTACAAGCTGTTCTAACTCCTCCCTTACTTCATCGTCCCTCGCCCACAACCGGTTTGCCTGAAGTAACCTTCTCTTTATAGATCTTGGGGTAATCACACATAGAGCAAGCCACGTATATATGTGACTCCGTGCTTCGGTCAACTTCGGACGTTGGAATAAAGCGGACAGTATTTCTCCTCTTCCCTTCCTTTCTTACCGAACCGGCAAGGAAGGCGACGTCGTCACATCGTTCGCTTATTGTTATCTAGCGTTAAATGATATACAATTTGCAATCTTTTTATTTAAATTAATAAATAAAAATACATTTATTAAATAACCATATACATAAATAAAGTATAATATAACCGGTTAGTATTATCATAATAAACATCTCATAATAAAATATACTTCTTTTACATTACGATTTATTACATTTTATAAACGGAAACTTTTATTTACACAATTAAATTATATGTTGACAAAATAAACATTTTGGTTTATTTATTTTCGCGTCGATAATAAACAATTAATTACATTTGTAAAAAAGATATGTTTATTATTAAATATATTTTGAAAACAAGCAAAAATGTTCTAGATACATCAATACATATTAACTTTCTAATCTCTCCCAATCACATCACCTAAATTTTTTTACAATCTTACATATATTTTTTCTGGTGTTATCATGTAATAAAAAATTATAGCGAAGAATATATATACAGAAGGATAATTTCCATATTAAACTGAATATTTAGGATCACATTTTTTAATTGGCGTTAATCTCAGGCCTTTAGCCAGCATTTGAGCTTCGAGATCACGATCTTCATCCTGATATCTAAAAAAGATTTACATTTATTAAAAAAATTTTATATTGCAACATAAAGTTGTGTGTAACTATTACATTATTAATTAAACTATTGATTGTATACATATGCTAACAAATTTGTAATGTTTTACAATAGCGTTAATAATTTGAATAAAATAAAAAGATAAGCGAACACAACACTATATACCCAGTCAACAAAATGTTAGCAGCCTGTCGGCAGTTTGTGAGCAAATTCGCTCAGAACGTGGCAGCAGATACGATGCCATCTGTGTCCACATTATAAGCTCGTGTTTTGCTGGCAGAATCTGTCGACATAGGTTGACAGCAGATTGGCGGCAGAAAACGAGCAGGATCTGTGCAGTGTAATTTGATATCAGATTGTCGGCAGAAATCGAGAACCTGCCGTCACAATTTAAATGGAATAGTGGCATTTAAATGCTTCATTATAATTTTACATTTCTCGTTTCGTTTATTAAAAGTAGTAAACGAGGTATGCAAAGTATATAATATATATTTGCTTTATTGGGACAAAAAAATACTTATGTTTTAATTAATTTATTGGGCCAAATCCCGAAATCACTGCAATATCGGGTCCATTCGCGGCGGATTTTCAATCTCAAAAATCAGTTTAATATTCTGAATCTCCTATGAGGGTTGTATCAGATTATTGTATTAAATTAATAAGCTTAATTAAGCCACTGACCACATTTTATATGCACTGTAGATGAATCTTGAGTACGAGTTTATGAAGAAACACGCCGCATAGCGGTAAACAACATTGCACAACTAACAAATTGCACTGCGCAGATTTTGCTCGATTTCTGCTGCCAATCTGCAATCAAACTGCGTTGCGCAGGTCCTGCTCGATTTCTGCTACTAATCTGCTGTCAAATTATGTCAGTAGGTTTTGTAACATTTCTGCTGATATTCTGCTATCATCATCTAATCTAACAGGTTTTGTATATAATCTGCAGTCTTTTTGCTGACAAAAATTTGGCAATATCTGTTCAAACAGACTTTGCTGACTGGGTATATATATATATATATATGTACATGCATAAAATGCGGAAATGCACAAAAGTAGAATAGATGGCAATATAAAAATATAAAACGAGTATTCAGAATTGTGTGAGAAAATATTAAAAATATAGATATAACATGCATTTACATATGTAACAATAATACATGCTAAACACCATGTTTTACCTTTGTCGTTCTTCTTCTAATAGAACAATTAAAGAATCCCTCTTTGCTACTATCTCCAACATTTCCGTCAAGATTTCTCCTTCCTTTTTAACATCATCACTAGTCTTCTTAGCATCTGTAAAATAAAGTTAATTTTTAATATAAACTGTTGGTAATTGTATTTTATCATACTTTTATTTATACTCTTATCCTTTTTTTATATAAATAGTAATGACAGTTTCAATAAAACAGTAAAATTGGGACTAATTTATTAACAAAATTGATAATTAAATACAGCAGTACCAGACACACGTGTCGACTCCAGCCGTAGCTAACAAATTATGGTTTTAGAAAATTCATTAAAGCAAATATGCTGCCAGCCATCTATCACAATTAATAGATTCTAACAGCAATGTAAATAAAACGCAAAATTCTAATAATATGAAATAAACTAAAATTTTTAAGACTCTTTAATTCAGCACCTTATTTTGAAAGAACTTAAATTAAATTGCACAATTGCTTATTCTAATTGTAAACAAAAATATAATACATAAATCCTTTTCGCTGCACTTGGGCCTTTTTTCGGTTATTTGTAGCATTTTACGAAAAGTGGCTCAATATGTAGCTCCGTCTTATAGAACACTTCATATATATTTGATTGACTTTAATAATTATAAAATATTATATACACTACTTACAATAATTAAGGGATCAAGAAAAATTGCTTCAAAACAGGCAATTTTTAAAGTATTGTAACTCCGCAAAAAATCATCGTATTTTAATTTAAAAAAATGTATATATATATATTTATGAATTGGATAAAAACAATATTTACCATCATCAGCCAGGCGGTTACGTAGTTCTTGCTGTAATCGTTCATGCCGATCTTCTAATTGGACTTCTTGTGCGCGCACTAGAAGCTCTTTTTCGTATCTACGCAATTCTGTGCGTTCCTTCATAAGATCGAACCATTCCCTGAGCAAATCAGCTTCTTCACGGTTGGAGAAATCTAAATAAAATTACTTAATCAGATTGATAATGTTTGGCATCCAGTTTGAAATAACAGTAGCTCCTTATCTCATTATTTTTAACTTAAAATATCGAACAGAAGTGGTCAAGTAATTCTATAAAATGACAATTATTTGGATTCTAATAATAATGTTATTACACTAACTCAAAAGAGCATAAAAAATCTACGCACGCGCGTATGTGTGTATGTGCGCGTATATAATGCACGAAAAGATATTAAAAATATATTAAAAAGTTTACGAAAAATTATTATTAAAAAATATGTATTTATTTAAAAAATGTAAATATTTATTTTTCTATATAATTTATATATTTTCTATATAATCATAAAATGTTTTTCAACATTATTTGCCAGCTTAAACAACACTTTTTCGGTTTGTTAACATTTTAATATTTTCAAAAAAAAAATCTTTTAGTCAAAAAATTACAGAATTATACATATATCTAGGCGTGGAGCATGATGCGCATACACCGTATTATCCAAAATTGACGTAATTTCATGCATTAAGCCTTAATAATTAAGATATTCCTCATCGCTTATATACATCAATAAAAGTTAGAAATTTTTTACGTCATATAATATATGGAAATAATCGAATAGAAACTAAATATTAAATTATTGCACAACAATTCTTTTAAATTAAATATAAAAGTTATATGTAAAAAATTTCATAAGAAACAGAATATCTGCATATAAATAATATAATACATACCTCCTTCACCACGTAGTGCTTTCTCGACACTTACACCCCGACTTTCTAATTCTTTCTGTTTTACTTCGGTTTCTTCTAATTTCCTCTGAATTTCTTGAGCCATCCGCAATCTATAAAATATATTTAAATTAGTAGTAATTTCAAATAAGACTTTGAGGAAGTAACATACTATTAATCAATAATAATTTTATATGACATTTCTTACAAAAAATATAAGAACATGATATATTTTCCCATTAGTGCATATATGTATACTGTTATAATATTTTAAAATGTTATCAGCGATATCTTAGAAATAAATTTAGGTAATTGTATTTATATGGACAAAGTTCGGAAATTTGCATATTTTTTAAAAATAAAAATATTTATTTCATATAAGTAATAAATAAAGTGATAATTAGAATATGTACAAATTTCAAGTAGATTGTATAATTTTGAAAACTGTAATGGCAGATTTTGACATTGCATACCATATAAAACGTTTCTGATTTGATCAGTTTAAGTGTCTGTGCTTTTTATAATATAAAAAATAAAAAATAAATGGAAATAAAATACAATGATTTGATTCTAAAAGATCAATATTATAGTATAAAAATATTACTTTTTTAGATTTACAGATTATTCACTTTTTTTTATTGGAGCAGTTTTATTTACATTAATATATAAAAAAATTTATAAATAAGGAAGATTACGTAAAGAACTAACCGCGGTTGTTAAGTGCGGAATAAATAAATTTCTTAAAATTCAAGAAAGAATTATTAATCAATATAAGACGTATAAAATTGATGTATAAAAAGCCGAAATATTATTAATGTACAAGCTTTTTTTAGTTTTGAGAAATTTATTCCGCACCAACAATCGCATTCGGTTCTTTACGTCATATTCCTTATTTATATAATTTGAAATGTTTTAAAAACCTATATTTATTTTAATTTTTAAATTTAATTTTTGATTTAATTTTTGAATTTAATGTTGTAAAATGTTGATTTTTACTTGATTTTTCAAGATCAAAATCAAAATCACTCATGCCCTAACTAGACCGGAGGATGATCCTACTTGTGGCTCATTCGAGTGCAAAGTTTGACAGACCGACCGAATCGATTTAATTGGATAAAAATAATTATTTGATATGGTTAATACGATTGAAAGTCAACTTTAATATAATTTTAATCTGTCAACCTATGCACTCAGATAAGCCACAAGTAGGATCATCCTCCGGTCTAGTTAGGGCATCAAGAAAAAAACAAAAATCAAAACAAAATTTATATATTTTTCAAAAAAATAAATATTTTGTTTAAATTATATCCAAAAAAATTCGCATTAACTTATATACATTTTTAAATGTGATAAATAAATGGTTTTTTCACATTATTAATCACTCTTGGAATAATATAACTATTGTGATGACTATTTATTTATTAAAATATTTGTCTATTTGACTATTTATTTGTTTAAGTATGGATTTTATTTTATTCAACTATTATAAATCCTACAATATGTATTAATCCAATCAAATTGCTAATTAATAAAAGAATTATATAATAAGAATAGAGTATATAAAGATGTATAAAGATATCTTTAGCTCACATTTTTTAAAATGTTATGGAAGATAATTTATTATATGTAATTGAATTTAGAACTAAATAATCTTTATTTAAAATTTTTATTTAACATATTTTATTATATTCTTTATCGTTTTGACTAATATTCACTTAAAAACAAACACTAAATTTTCTTACAGATATTCTATTTCCTTAATAAGTCTATGAGCATTTATAAAAATATACATATCTCTTATTTTGATGAGAGAGTATCTTGACTGCAATACATTCAAAATTTATCAAAATTATTACTTCCATGTTTTCTTTTTTTTTTGTGAGCCCAACATGTTACTTTTTTAAATGAGATTATAATATATTTCTTACCTCTTTAATTGTGCTTGTCTAGCTACTTTTTTAACAGTCTTTAATTTACGTGTAATACTATTGCATGATTCTTCAGCTGCAGTAACTTTTTGCGTACACGATGTCGATAAAGCAGTTGCTTTGGTATCATCATCTGACAAATTATCATCTGCAATAAGAAAAGTATAACATTATAGTATAAATATGAAATCATATGTTTGTAACACTTGAGATAAATTTACAAGTACAAATAGGGATCAATTAGCGTAAGTATATTTCAGTGAAACAGATTATTTAATTTTAAAACAAAAAATATGAAGAGTAAAATTAGGAATTTACTACCCAGTAAACACTGTTATATTTATGTTATATAAAAGCAATAAAATGGAATGTTACAAGTAATATACATAACCCAGTAAACACAAAGTAACAGTAACGTAACATTAATGTTATAATTTCCCACTCAACAATATAATTCTTACGTACAAGGCATGTTATATTGCAGTTACATTGTTGAGTGGAAAATTATAACATTGACGTTATGTTACTGTTAGCTTGTGTTTACTAGAAAGTATTACCAATAAATTACTGGTTGATTGTAATTTCTTATTCATAAATGTAACATGCAATATAATATATGTATGTCATTGTTACTACGTAGTTATACTCCGTATAGAATTGATCATAGAGTTGGTAATTAAATAAATAGAATACATTACTTATATGTATATAACTCGCGATTTAATTTCTATAAAAATTCCGATTTTTGCTTCAAATAGGCAGTAAATGGACTATTTCTCATTTACTCGCCCCATTTCAAATAATCTGTTTAATATTTCTGAATCCCTTGTTGGGATTGTATCAAAAATTAAACTGACAAAGAAAAGATACACTTTGGATTTTACCCTTTGTAGGCTTTATATACATTTCATGGCAAATATTTGAATACGAGTTAGTTAAATCTGGTTTCGCCGCATAGCGACAAGCAAAGAAACACGTGTATAACAATATTATATTGCAATAATATTCTGTTACATTACTGTTGTAATGTTATAAAATAATACGTATGGTATATTACAATTTTATATCATATAGGTAACTTTCATTATATTATTTGTTTCTTTCATGTTATATCACTGCAACAGTGTTTACTGAGTAGTTATTTGTATCTTCAAAACTGTTGAAAAAAAACTGATAAAAGATAAAAAGACACAGTCGTATTTTGCGCCAAAATTACGTACAGCAAAGTCAATCATGTATTTTTGCACGAGTTGATTATTTAAAAGTACTTTGAATTATTGCATTTCAGTGACACCTAGATTAATTAGGTTTCTAAAAAACTAGTTATGTACATTCGTAGGCGAAAACATAAGTTCACTTTTTATTGAATTATTATCTAGAAATATAATCTTTATTTTTAACTAAAGATTTCAATATTAACAATGACTTTCAAAAAGATGTTACACGCTGCCATAACTCACAACAGAAAAAGCGAACGATAACAAAACAAAAAGAAATAAAGTTTATCTTTTTCCATTATTTGCTAATGAAACTTTTGTCTGAGTGCGCGCATATAAAGAACATCTAACAAGACTTAGTTGATAACACATTCATATAACATCTATTACATAACATCTATGCTTTATAAAGATAGAAATAATAATGCAAAGTCCAGATCTGGAAAATTAATACTAAATCTCTGTCATGATTTTTTGGCTGTAATCATGCGTTGTACGGTTTGAATTTCTGACATAACATTACACTAATGGAGAGTAAAGGGATAGAGATTGAGAGGGAGGAAAGGGAGAAAAAAGACAAATCACATAGAGTGCACAATAAAAAGGAAAGACAAAGAGAAGAATAACAAAGTCAGATTAAGGAAGAGCAGAGAAATATAGAGAGATAAAGAAGTAAGTATAAGAGGAGGAGGGCAACATTTAAAAGTATAAAGAGAAGGAAGCAAGAAAGTTATAGTATAATAGAGAAAAGAAAGCTAACAAGAAAAGTGATGGAATTGTCTCCTTCCAATTTTGAGCTTTAAATATATTTTAGAGCGGCTAAAAATAAGAGACACGTTTATATATACATATACAGTGTCCCATTTTAACTTAGACAACGTAATATCTCGAAAACAATGCGTTATCAAAAAAAGTGTTTCAAGTAAAAGTTGTAGGGTTTGGAGGGGGCCATCAGATGAGCTACCTAGATTTTGGGTCCGGAGCCCACTTTGGGCCCAATAAGAGCCAAGTCCGCGCCTCTCGGAAGCTTCTTATCTTTAATTACGAATTTTTTAAATAATAATTTCTAGTTTGATCGCTAATATTTTCTGTAAAAATATTCTAGGTTTTTATTTGCACATTTTAATAAAACATTTATTTTGTATTGGCAAAAAAATCTATTATTACAAATAAAAAAGTAAAACAGTATGTATAAAACGCAATAATGCATATTAGAAAATTTTAAAAATATTTATTCTGTTACAGATATAATAGAACAAAAATAATTCACGCGTTTATGAATAATATCATTAAAATTATTATTAAAAAATAACAAAGTTTATTTATTTAAATAATTAAATATTAATATTTTATTTATTTAAATAATTCTGCAACATATTCAATATTTATCAAAATAGCAAAAAAATATATGTATGATTCATACCTGACATTTGAGTAGTAGATATTGAGTAATTAAGCGGTGGTGGTGGTACAGGCGGTGGATTTTCAGTAAGAAAGTTTCTTGCAAGCATACCTTCGCAAATGCTTTTAGGTCTCTCATTGGATTTCGTCGAGACAATTTTGTCAAGCTGTAATAAATTGTAAAATATTAAATTAAAAATAAGAGTAGTAGTTCAAAAAAAAAAATTAATGTATACCTCAATTTCTACCCAGACAGCACGTATGTCCAAAATCGGGACATAAGACATCTTTAAGACGTCTTAGAGACGTCTTACGTCCCGATTTTGGACATACGTGCTGTCTGGGTATGCAATCATAAAATTTTATAAATAGAAAATTTGTTTCCAAAAAACAGAACTTCAGAAAAATACTGTATGAGCTTTTTTTAAAAGTTCTCGGAATAAAGTATAAATAACATAAATATACAATAGATTTTAAAGAATCGCCAATTAAAAGTTTTTCGAGTTTAGTTGTGAAAATATAAGGGAGACAAAGGGGATTAAAAAGAAATGATTTTGATGCCGATAATGTATAAAATGTATTCTGTTAGCGGAAATTTTAGAAAGAAGTTAATAGGAAAGAAACAACTTAGCAATCTAGTATGATTTAGAAAGGAGTTGAGGATAATAAATAATAAATACATATATATTTATTGGATTTTATAGGGATGAGTAAAATAATTTTTGTTTAATCAAAATATTCCTTTATTTAAGAAAGGCGGATGGAACACAAAAGATAAGTTTATAAACTCAATGAACAAAAAACGTAAGAAAATAACTTATTTTGTAAATAACAGAGAATCGCAACGCGTGAATAACTCACTAGCAAAAGGACTAGAACGCTATAAAAAATAAATGAGCGAGGAGAATATACATGACGCACGCGTAAGAACAAAAGTTAAAAACAAATACATATATGGAAATGCGCAAAGTTCGATTTCATTCAACAGTTAGAAAACTATAAATTTTTATTTATGTTTTACCATTAGTCAATATTTATAAATAAAGATTTAGACTTAAAAATGGTTTTAAAACAATTTTTAAAGTCAAAATAATTAGTTATGTGTAACAAATAATATAATAAAAAATAAATTATCATCGGTAGAAAATGTTTTACATGTTCAAACATATTTTAATCAATCCTGTAATTCAGATTAAAAATCTTCTTTTATTTCTAAAAATTGCAAGTCATGAAATTAGATGCCATGCATTATTGAACATGTTATTCCGATAAACTTATAAAAAGAAAGCAAACATTTCTTAGCAAAAAAAAACATTTATAAATTCTATAACATACATATAACAACAATTACACAAAACTACTAAAAAAATTAATACATCAATAAGTTATGAATTGCTTACATCTGATCCATCCGAATGTGATTTAAATAACTGAAACATTAAAAAAATGTATCTATTAGACTGTAATTGGATATGCGTATATACAAGATATCCAAAAAAAAAAATTTCTACATAATTATCTCAAATTAGATATTAAAAAAATTCTTTTATATTAAATTTGCTTTGTTTTACAAGAAATATTCTATTTTCCTTTACTACTTGATAATTTAACAAAAAGATCGTACAATAACTTTCAATTACTTAAAAATAATTTAAAAGACAAACTCCAAGCCATCAGATGCTTTTTACGAAATTTGCCTTCGATTTTTTTGCACACAATGTTCGTAATGAGATATACAAATTTTCTATTTTGTCGGACTTTTTTATTAATTACATTAACCAAAAAAAAAAAACAATTAACAAAATGGTAGAACAAAGGTCTTTTCTGTTCAGTTTACTCTCCTCTACTTGCTCACGAGCGTTGGCACGATCATTCCGAGACACTCTGTATATCTTTACATTAGAAACTAACAATAGTATCTTATTTTTATACTTTCCACCAGAGGACAGATAGAACCAATATAGGACCATTCAGCGTTTTGTCTCCAAATATTTTCTCATTTATCACATATGTTATAAAGTATAATTTATAAGTTTAGTTAATCATTATTGATGTAATTGTGGTAGAAACTGATCAGCGTTATTTATGATTTAAATCAAAATTCAAGTTTAATCAGTGAGCTTAACCAAAGTTTTGTTAAACCGCAGAGATTAAAATTAAGTTTCTACCAAAAAAAATTGATAGAAACAGAGATAAGTGCGGAGCACTTCAAAGCTGAATAAAAGTTGAAAAGTATTCTAAACAATATACATGATGAGAGAGACGATTGTTAGGGACGGAATACTTTTTCGCGCACGATGTATCGTATTGGCGTATAATTAACTATATACAGCGCACAATTTAGTCATTATTTTTACACATATATTTGCTATTACATAAATTTAAATAAATCAATTTATATTGATGATATTCGTCGGATGTGCATATGCATCCATAGCACCCAAAGAATTAATATCCCAGATAACACACATGTCTTTAAGATTACTTTTGATTGGGATTACTTTTCTTTCAAAAACAACATAAAATTTTTTGATTAAAGTTTTATCATTATTACATTTTAAGGCATTCATTTTCTTTCGCGAGATTAAGTTCGCGTAATTTTTACTGCTTTTAAAAAATTAGGTACATGACAGCATTTTTCGAATCCTATTAAATCCTTTATAACATTCAAGTTGAAAATTTTTTATAAACCTACCATTATTACTATACTTTTTTTCAAATCTCACAGTAATTAAAGAAATTAGATTTAGCTTGCCTTAGATAATATAATAGTAATATAATAATAATTATTATTATTGTTATAATTGCGATAATACTCACTTTTCCTTTTGATTTCGGAGTCAATCGAAACATTGACAACTTGTCCTTTTGATTGGGCGATAGACTGGGTTCTTTCTTGAAAAAGAAATCCGATACTGCTTGTATAATACTTTTTCTTCTTTCTGGATCCTTTGGTTTTTTCTTATCTCTTTTTACTAATACGTCGTTGTTATCCAAAAGCGCGAAACCTGCGGTATTTAATAATTCGTCCATCGATTTTGTATTAGTCGCAGACAGTGTTTCGAAGTTAATCTTCTTCGCGATGTTTTTCATATTGTCGGTACTCTTACTGGTTTGTAATTTTAGGTCTGAAGTATCCATCGCATTGTACAATCCAGTTCGTTGGGTCTCTAATGCATTGTCTTTTCTTGCACTCTCCATTGAGAGTTGTCTTCGAATCACTTTCATTCTGAGTTCTTTGATTCTGTCTTCGGGGCTTAAACCTAAATCCTCATCACTTTTCATTCTAGCTCGTTCTCTCGCGTCTTGCCTGGCTTTTTCGGTAGTCCTTCTTGTTTCTTCGTTTTTTGAAAGCGTGAGTGGCGTCTTGAAAACATCTTCTCGATTAGTAGTGGTCGACTTTTCACTCATCTGTAATTGATTCGAATGATTGGTCTTTTTTGAAACTTTTTCTTTGGTTTCTCGATCACATTCATGATGTAAAAATAATGAAGAATCGAGCGACTTTTTCGCTTCGCTAAAGGTCGTATGAATGGGACTGTTTACTGGTGATATTATAGAAGTAGGAACAAATTTGTTACCAACCGCAGACAAAGGAGTACTAGATGATGCCGGCTTCATCAATGATAGCGCTGTGGTGAAAGATGAAGATCTGGCAGCTCTCCGAGCTTTCTTCTCGGCTGATTTCTGCTTGTGAGCCTCAAGCTTATCCATCAGGAGATCTTGAATAAGATCCTTCTGCTTCGATCGTTCTCTAGTGAGCTCCTCGAGTTTCCTGGAGGTCATCGGTGAATTTATACTGTTACCATTCAGAGTCGTTGTTTCTTGGCACTTAATTTCTTCGGCAATCATTTCTGCAGTGTGCGCTTGCAGCATACTTTTCGAATTCTTTCGTTTTGATTTTTTCACGTCAATAGCATCCTTCGTATTATTAAACTCAGCGATTCTGGACTGTAGCTTTTTTACATATTCTAAGTAGTTTGAGTTACTGGGGTCTGCTTTGGACGATTTCTCGTGTTTCTCTGACATTTCTATAGGAATTACGGGTATCTGTGGATTAACTGGACTGGCAAGGACTGTAACAACCTCACTGGTAGTTGTATCCTCCGCTGGCTCCATCACTAATAGACTGTCTTCATCTATTGATTGAAGCAATTCTTTGTTGAAGGCTTCTATCAATTGTTCTTGCTTTACATCCTCTTTGCGTTCTTCTTCACTTTGCTTTTCGGTTTCAATTTCCAATTTTGTTGATAATTTATTCACGGATTCGTTTAGTTTGTCCATTACATCTTCCATGGTAACGGGATTAATTTCGATCACATTAGAGTCCTTGAAACCTTCCTTTTCTTCCTCGCTGTACGAGGAATCGTTTTCCAGATCCAACCTCGCTATCGGTGCATCGGCGACTGGTAAATTGCACGTATTGGTCGAAATGGGGATATCAGAAAGAGTCGTTTTGACATTTACAAACTGGATGTAACCCCGATTTCTCCACTTGATAGCATTAGAAGCATCTTGGAGACTGTCATCCAAAAGCGATTCATTATCCGTGTCCATGTAATTAATGTCGTCGCTGTTGGCTAACAATTTCGATGTACTGTTATTCGAGTATTCCTGATTAATTACCCGGTCAACCTTGAAATTGTCGAGTTTTGTATTATCTTCGTTAGCAATTCTGATAGATCTGGAAGATAACATTGCATTGTTCTTCCGTGTAGTAATAAAGCTAGGGTCGATATCGAGTTCTACATCGTGGAAGTCATCAGAGACTAAAACTTCTCCATCGCGAGCCCATTCGGAAAATTCTGTCTCGGTAAACGCTGCAGTAGTAACGTCGTTTTCTTCGGAATCATCTTGCTTATTGGATATCGGCGAAGTCTCAGAAATAGGACTGCTATAGTTACTTGTTTTGTTGTTGTCTCGCAAGTCTAATTGTTCGATATTGTTATTTATCGCTTCAACAGTGTGCGCGTTATTAATTGAATCGACAGTTGGTTCACACCGATCAAGCAATTGATGATCTCGTAAGAAAGAAACCTCGATAGAGTCTGGCTCAAAGGCTTGGCTATCATTCAGATCGTAACGCTTGTATCGGTTAGTTCCTTCGTCTAATAAAAGATCACCATCGATACTATGAATTTGTAATCTAGGTGGTGAAAGATTTACAGCGACTAGCTGCTCATTTCTAGCCACCTCATTGAAATCTGAAGATGATAATGAATCGCTGTCTATCTCGGAATCGTCCGAACTGGCATCTTTATCTTTGTTCTTCATGCTCCAGTCTACCTGCGGGACGATAATTGACGTCTCGTGAAGAGGGCTACGTGGTCTAAAACCATTATTCTCTTCCAAATTATTGGAAAAAATGTTCTCCACATTTTGCGAGCCTTTCATATCCTCTAAGGCATCTTTCGTTAAGTTATTACTTTGATGTACAAATATTTGTTTATTAACTAGTTCTTTGTCTTTTATTGAGGATTTATTACAAATATTAGGTGCTGTTTTCGATTTCAGAATATTGGATTCTTTCACTAAGTCAGGCAACTGTTGCGCTTTGGGTGCTTCAGTCAGAGTAGTTGATTTGTATGCGACATCATTTGATGAATTACAATAGTGGTCGACTGACAATTGTCGCGAAAATAAAATTGTAGGCGACAATGGAGATAGTGGCGCATTGCTGATTCGCAGCTTGCTAGTACCTTGAAAAAATTTCATATAATACATAAAGTATTTTGGATAGATAAAATTTAATTTTGAAAACCGATTTCCAACATTTTTATTGTCTGCAATTATTAATAAATTGTCTGTAATATAATAAATATTCTGTGTTATTGCAAACTTACAATTATTAACAACAACGAGTAAGTAATAAAAATAGTATTAAAAAATAAGTAACACAAATGTTTGTGTGATTTATCTTGTTTATCTAAAATATTTTTTATTATCATCAAATACTGATGATAGATATATATGCAGAGTGTTCCATTTTATGTTAAACAGTCAAATATCTGGAAATTACGAGATTTTAGAAAAACATGTTTCGTACAAAAGTTTTATAACTTCGAGGGGAACATAAGATGGTGCCATTAGGTTTGTCCTTGGAGCATTTTTCGAATTATGTGGCTTAATGAAAAAATACTTTATCATGTGTTTTGAAAAGCTCTCGAGGTAAGCTGCAAGAATATGCAATGAAAAATGGGGGTTTTCATTTAGGAAATTGAAGGTGACTTTCACGTGATCTTCAAACAACTATCAAAGAACAAACCAATAGCACCATCTTATGTTCCTCTCGAAGTCATAAAACTTTTGTACAAAACATTTCTTTCTAAAATCCCGTGATTTCCAGATATTTGACTGTTTAAAATAAAATAGGACACCCTATATACAGGGTGAGGCAAAAGTATGGAAACCCCCGAATAAGTTTTGAGGAAGACATTTTACGAAAAAATGTTAAATACAAAAGTTTTAGGAAATTTCTCTGGCTTTTCAATGGTGACCTTGGATTTGACCTTGACCGTGACCTTGAAGGTCATTTGAAGGTCAGAGTAATTTTTTTAAATGGAAACCCCTATTTTTTATTCCAAAATCTAATAGCTGGTGTCAAGAGCTTTTCAAAACACTATAATGAAGTTATTTTTCATTAAGTACTTTTCGAGTTATGAGGCTTGTAAATTACAGTATTTTGACATAAAATACAAAATATCTTGTAAAACATTCAATTTTTGGGAATTTTACCTTAATACTTTTATGCATAAAATAATGAGACGAATCAATTGGTATAAAGAAAACACATTGGTTTTAAAAAAAAGTATGCAGTTGCATGTTGCAAACTACATATTTTTTCTTGAAAGCAACTATGTGTTTTCTTTATACCAATTGATTCGTCTCATTATTTTATGCATAAAAGTATTAAGGTAAGATTCCCAAAAATTGAATGTTTTACAAGATATTTTGTATTTTATGTCAAAATACTGTAATTTACAAGCCTCATAACTCGAAAAGTACTTAATGAAAAATAACTTCATTATAGTGTTTTGAAAAGCTCTTGACACCAGCTATTAGATTTTGGAATAAAAAATAGGGGTTTCCATTTAAAAAAATTACTTTGACCTTCAAATGACCTTCAAGGTCACGGTCAAGGTCAAATCCAAGGTCACCATTGAAAAGCCAGAGAAATTTCCTAAAACTTTTGTATTTAACATTTTTTCGTAAAATGCCTTCCTCAAAACTTATTTGGGGGTTTCCATACTTTTGCCTCACCCTGTATAGTAGAAAGTAAGCATAATTTGTCATTGTAAGTGATGGCAGAAATACAACAGAAATGCAACAGAATTATGCATTATAGGGGATGTAACTCCAATGACCTTGACTTTGACATATGTTGTCGAGATCACAATCTTAGGGAACATTTATTTGAATTGCTAAATTTAATTGTTAATAACTTTTTAATAAACAATGAAGATTGGCTAAAACCTTTTGATGGTTACTCAGAGTTGTGACTTCGACAACATATGTTAAGGTTAAGATCATAAAAGCTGCACTCCCTATAATACATAATTATTTTTTGTACATTGTTTACATGTTCAATTATGTATGTATGATTTTAGAAAATACTTAATATAATAAAAAATTCATCATACCTTGTAAAAATGCTTGCATAGTAGGACTGGGTTCTGGCGCTGGATTAAGTAACTTCTGGTGTTGGGAGATTGCGTCGGTAAAATTTCTTAGCTTCGTATCCACATTGGACGTCGAACCTGATTTTACAACAGAACCACTCAAAGCTGATCCGCCCAGTAAATATCGTTTCTTCAACTCCAAAGAGAGTCTCGAAGCAATTCCTCCAGTTGAATGAGTGCGATTTAGAAGATAATCTCCTTTTCGCGGATTTAGTAACGGCGTGCAAGTATTCGTAGGAGTCGGTATGGTGCAGTTCGTTTCTTTGCCCTTAAGTCGATCACTTTTTAAAAACTGCTCGCTGACATTTTGCTGTTTCTCGTCCTGCCTCAAATTGCTATTAATCGAAGATATCATTTTGCTTTTCACCTGCACTTTTTTAGGTTCGACATAAGTGCCTCTTGTTTTCCGCACGTAAGAGTCATTGATAGTAATCTCAGGAATTTCGTGCTGCGTTGGAGTTGTCTCGTCATGCTCGAATTCGGAATCTGTCGAAATTTCTGTTGCAGAGTCTTCCACACTTTTATTTGTCGATGCATTCTCCGATGATGCGACCTATGGAACAAAGTCGTTATGATGAATAAATAACTGTTGTAGCAAACAGCTGGAATAGCGAATTTAGTAAATTAGTATAGAGCGGTAAAGAAAAAAACAAATACTAATACATTGGTTATATGTTCAGATTAAATGTGTGTATTATTGCACAAATTTACATTTACTTTATAAGGTATATAAAAAAATTGTTATTTCTCTAAATGCTCCCTGCAAACAAATCAAACATAAATTTATTTGCACCTAAATGCTAATTTAAACTTACTTTTAAAATTTATTTATTAATTTATTATCAAAGTAATTCCACTTTACAACCACAAAAAAAGGAAACACAGATAACAAATTAAAAAAAAAAAGAAGATAATTTGACTCAATAATATATTAACCGAGGTAACTATTTATGTGTAATAATACGAAAGCTTTTCTGAAACTATTAAACACAAATTATTAGATAGACAATATTGTTCAGTAAGGATAACAAGAATTTGTAAACAAGCATAAGTATTACGAACGCTTTACACTGCTGCGGGTAGTGTGTGTGTGTGTGTGTGTGTGTGTGTGTGTGGGCGCGCGCCCGCGTATGTGTGCGTGCGGAAATATGATGATCTTAACAGGAGAAAAACAAGATAAAATTGATAACAAAATTAAAAAGAATATTTAGATAGAAAAAAAGCTAAGTATATCTAAATGTTGAGAAGACAAAGATTATGATATTTAGAAAAGAAAATAATAGGATAAAAAAGATAAGAAAGATAGAAGAAAAATAAAACTCGAGAAATTTAAGTATCTAGGGTATACAATTCAGTCTAATAAGCGACAAAAAGAACATGGAAAAAGGAAAAAACAAAAAAGTGCAGTATGAGACAAATATGAGAAGTAAAAGAAAATTTGAAAAATATTGGGGAAAAAAAGTGTAATTATATGCGTTGATGAAACAGTGGTGAACAGTGGTGAGATATAAGATAGAAATTCGATGGAAAATGGAAGGAATATGAGAAAACATAGAGAATGCATGAAAGATTTTTAAGATGGGTACTGAAGATAGAAAGATATACGCTGAAGTATATAATGAGGGAAGAACTACAAACTTAATAAGAAAATGTTTAGGAAAAAAAAATAGAAAAGAGATAAAAAGGAAAATTATTAAGATAGAAAAAAGTGAAAAAGGAATATTTTAAAGAAAGAGAATGGTAATTAGGAGAGAAATGAAGGCGCAAAGAAAATTAGATAGATAAAAAATTAGATTAATTCGGAAAGGAAGAAGCAAAGAGTAGAGAGACAGGAAATGAACGGAAGTATAATTAATGATTTAAAAAGGTAAAGAGAAAGGGAATATCTCATTATTTAAAAAAAGTTGGAAAAGTTTTGCATAGATGTGTATGTAAGTGTGTGGGTGAAGAGAAAGTGCGTGCGCGCGCGCATATTGTAAAAAATTTATCGCATAACAGCTGATTACTTCGGAGCTTATTCGCAAACACAACCAGCAATTACGTCATCTTTATTATAAATCTGACAACACTATCGCCTTAAGTGCAACTACCTGTAAACCGGTCGACCAGTTCCGGTTTTCGGCTAATCACTCTCTTGTTTCAGAACATGCGAAAAGTATGGCTGTTCACCCTTACGTGGGTGTTATTAACCTATTCTTTTATGAAATCGGAGCTTCGGACTCATTTTGGAACTTAATCTCACTTCGTCAATTTGATGCAAGTTCGGCAGTAAAATAGCCAACAGTGAGGTGCGCCCGTTGCAGTGCCGTACTTTATGTGAGAGCATTTTGTGGCTGCCTGCATTCAAACTTATACTTTTCGGTTAATTATTCGGTTTGATAACTTAGTGGCTGGTTAAACATTGCTTAACTACTTATAACGTTCACTGACTCTTGTCGATATTCCGCGCTACCCTCAGTACTTTGTGATCGTAATAACTCAATTATCCGACGTAATATTTATATTCGCGTCGAAAATATGTCTTGTCGTATTCCATTGTACTTTATTTTGTCGTTTCTTTAATATTGTATCTTATGAATACACAGTCTATTAACCACTTCCTTGACTTGCCCGAGTATATTCGAGCAGTACATCATCACCGGCATATACGGAATATACCCAAATATATCACATACTGATAACAAAAAAACATTTGTTAACTCTCTTTGATAAAATAATCTGTCAGAAAAGTAATTAATTCAATCGTGAATATTCATTTAAAACACCCTCATCTACCCTAAAATCATTCATTTAAAAGATAGTTTCTTCACAAGACTCAGAATTTATTACAATATTGTCATTAAAGTGTGTTTTGCAGTAGATTTGTATGTACAGAAATACAGCTTTGCATCCAGCTTGTTACTTAGCCGTAACAAAAAAATTAAAAAACTGAAATTTTTAATTGCTTTTTATATTGGGTTGATCAGAAAATTGGGTTATTCAGGTTTTTTTACAAAAATGAAAACTTAAGAATAAGATTATTACACGTAATTATAATCAAGAATGTGCCCAAGTAGAGCACACGTCATCTGACATCTTTTTATCGTCATAATAAAGATTGATCAATTGATTATTATGAAGACAAAAAGACATCAGACGACGATCATTTGCTACTTGGGTATGCACTCCGAACAAAGTTAATAGTTTTTCTTTTTATGCAAGATACTGCTCGCAGGTTGCTAATTTTGCAGAGAGGTAATGATTGTCGTTCTTTATTTTAGTGTAACGGTTGAAATAAAATCCATTGTCACTAGCGTGTGAGACTAATACACTAATCAACACGTCACCATTATCACGTATATGCCAAGCTTATATGAGAAGGTGCATTCCAGTATATGTAAAGTTCAGTGATGTTGACGCATTACTGTTGATGATAATTTAGGCCTGGTAACTCAGATCCTGCAAGAGAAGTTGCTGCACTTGTTCATTCACCGACTGTCGCTGTTTAGAGAGACTGTTGCAATCACTTGTCGGAGATGTTACCGTAAATATACTCGATTTATCGTACATTTTGTCGGATTTGTTTTTCGTATCTCTTTTCCTTTTATAGCACTCACGCGGATAATATCCCTTTTTCTTACAATAGTAAGTAACACTTCACTTGTAGAGTATCTTTGTTTCTGGATCTGATCGGAAGAATCCCAAATGCACATGAAATTTAACGGATATAGCAGTATGAACGACGCAGACACAATGTAAGTCGGACACATCCCAAATTGATACATGAAGAAATGGACTTATAAAGGTCGCAAATAGACACAAGAGGAAACGGACAGAGAAGGAAATTGACATATGTAGAATAGAAAGGAACATAGTCTAAACTGTACTTTCTACACAAAGCTAAATCTATCCCACATCGACTGACACTTTAGAAAACGAGGTCTGTAACTGTATTATTACACATGGATTTGCTACTTGCTATATATAGCAAGATATTATTAAGATTATGTCCATTTGCAACCTCTATGTGTCCGTTTTTTTCTGTGTGTATTTCTTCTTGTATCTGTTTGCAGCCTTCATGAGTCCGTTTGATACGTGTTCGACTTACACTGTCTCTGCCCCGTTCACATTGCTGTGTCCGTTAATTCTGTGTGAAACTCTGTGGAAATCTGGAACTCACTCAATTTCAATTGGTCGTAGACCGTTCTTTGTGAGCCGTTGGTCTTTTCTTCTTCGGTTGTTGCTCATGGTGGTAAATATAACTGTCTAACTCAACAGTCGTCTATACCTTCTATCATCTTGCCCGTTTCCTTTATCAGCCTCTCAAACAGAACGCTGACTGTTTTATTCCCTGTAGAAACACTGTTTTATGCCATCACCAATGTGCTATACTTTAATGAAACTTTGATAGACAGCCTAGAATCTTCATCATAAAGTCAATTTTGTTCATTATTTGCCCTGCCTCTCTTAACTGACTCATCAAATTTTCAATTTAATTCATTCACAGAACGATTGAAATCTGTTGAGTTGACGTGACCTTTGCGTAAGCAAGAATTTGCTTGATGCCAATCTTTGCTTGTATCTTCACAAAACTTTATCATATCTCTCTGGTTACTGTGCATGTATTCAGTTCTTGTAACTACTTTCTCTACAAGGAGGAGAAGGAGATTGAGTTCGTGGCTTTAATGAAGGCATTCGTCTTTTCTTCTGGTCTCGCTTTGGAGTCATCAATGAGATCTTCAAATCCATAAACCATCAGAAGTTGCACCACTTCAAATTTTTCAGATTTTGGAGAAATCTGATCTGTTGAACTCAGTAATTCTTTTTCCGAAAATATTTTCCGCCTTAAATTCTTAAATACACGGGCTTAACAGCAATTTCGCAAAAAAAACACACATGCAAAAACACCACTTAATTAAACCTTTTTACTCTTAATACGATTCGTGCCCTGAATCTAAACCCCTGATGGGATTATTATCGAAAAGAATACACGCAAATTCGAGAAAATAAAAAGAAACTTTTATTACAATGCAAAGATTATTTAACAGAGAGATTCAATCAGTGCGCGCGACAGAAAACTGTAATGGATATAATTGTAAGACAGGCAACTGATTTGCTGCGATATTTCTCGCATGCGCACTGATTAGTAAAGCCTTTCTGACGCCTTAAACTGAAAGATCGAATCAAAATAAACCATAGCAAAATCAATTCTTAACACCTTTTCTTTATTTGCTCTATTTAGGATACTGCTTTGCATATATGTATATTAATTATACAATTTTCTGCAATTATCTTTAATTATTCTGTAAAGAAGAAGACAAAATTAATCCAGCATACAATATTTTAGAGACTGACATAAATAATATAAATAATGAAAACGAAATTAATGCAAATTTAAATAGTGGTGAGTCTATCGTATTGCTATTTAAATGCGCATCAATTTCGTTTTCTTTGTTGTTCATATCGGTTTCTAAAATATTGTATGCTGGATTAATTTTTTCTTCTTCTTTAATATTGTTTGTAATAATTGTTTGGGCACTATTTTTCGTACGTAACATTAATATGTCAGAAGCTACAGTAGTATGTTGCTTTGTGTTGATTTTTAAATCTAGAGACTTTGCTTCGATAAGATCATTATATATCAAATCAAAATTATCACATATTGTTTTCTCTTCGTCATTACTTAGCTCAAATAGTGATAAATCGAACTGAGAGTTCATTCCATTATCTTCTAAATGTGCAACTTCGCTTTGTTCTTCAATTTGATTGAATTGTTGATCATTTGTTTCAATGTTTCTTTCAGTTCTTATTTTCTTTATATTTTTTTCTAATTTTTCGCATTCGTCTTGTTTAGCAGTAACTTTAATTATGTTGGCCTTTTTATCACAATCATTCGAGGAATTAGTCTTATTAAAATATTTCCACATTTCTTCCTTTAACGCTTTCATATTAGATGGTTTTTTAACTTCTTTGTTTTGTATTGGTCGATTTTGCGGAATTATTTTCTTATTCTCCATAAAATATTTATTCATTTTCAATTGGGCGCGTTCAGTTGATAGTGGTCGGAGTTCATTTTCTACGATTTTATTTTTTGCCTTTCGCTGCTTTAAATCGTGCTTCAATTTATCGAATGCACTGTTACAATTTCCGAAATCTGGAATATCTTGTGATTTCGAAGGAACCAACAATTTTGATGTGTCTAAAGATTCTTCAAGTTCTTCAAGTTGTATTTCCCGTGTTGGGGATGCAAATGTCACTGTCAATACTGGACATATTGGTTTTTGTAATACACTTGTAATAATCAGTGGCTGTATTGTCTGTATATTTTTGTTTTTCTTGTCAGCAATATCGCTTGTATGGATATTATAAATATCATCGTTAAGTTTAATGTTTCTGTTTCTGTTAATAAAATTGTTATCCTTATCTTGGCTAATAATACTAATATTTTCATGCTTATGTATATTTATTTCTTCAGGCAAATCAGATCTTGAAAATTCTAAAAAGTTATTTCTGTGATTGCTAATATGTGAATTGCTACGTAACGCTTCAATATATCGATAGATTTCTAACAATAAAAAAAATAAGGAATTTCTATTTTTACTAAAAAGATAAATAATTGCATTCAGCAAACTATTAACATTTAGGACAGTTTCAATATTAGAAACCTTGTAATGTTTGCTGGTTCCAATGCAAGATATAATATCTGCACATGTAGTTTTCGCAACTTGTTTCGAACAAGTTTGATCATTCTGCGAAAAATCTCCTTTTATATTACTTGTAAATAAATCTAACAAATTTTTAATTAAATCGTGTATGTTAAAATTATTAACATTTAAATTCAAATCAACAGAATTTAAATAAAGATTTGTTGTGTCAACGTCGAAAACAGTATACAAACAATTATTATTAATTCTATTATCTGAACGACTGAAATCAAACCGAACACTTTTGTTCATAAAGTTTTCATATAGAATAGAATTGTAATCTTTATTACCCAAGTAATTATTCACAATAACATTTGTCAAAGGAATTAAAGATTTATTTTGATTTGAAATGTTATTATGGATATTATTTAGCATTAGAAAAGGTGTTGAACTCATTGTACAAGTTATATTTTTAGAAGTTTGCAAGATAACATTACTAGATGTGCCATTTGTATTGACAGAAAGTATGTCGTTTCGGTTGTATGTGTTTATAGCTACTTTATTAGAAACCAATGCAATTTCATTTAAGGATTCTGATAATCCGAGATCGTTTCTATTGGGCAATAATTTGCTATTATTTGCGTTTGTATCAGATATTAAAAGGGGTAATATTTTAACTTCAAAATAAATGGATGACTTTTTAATTATATCTAGATTTACAGAGTTTTGAGAATGCTTCACCTCTGTTTCCGAACCGGTGTCAGTATCAGAATTGCATTGTGGCACTTTCAACCACACTTCCTGTTTCCGAATCTCTCGCGCGCGAACATCTTCCTCATCTTCGGTTGCAGTACCGCTTTCATCGTCTGAAAAAGAAATCAAACTATTATATATCGTAATATAAAGGAAAATAATATAAACTAGAGAAGAGTTGTTAAAATTGTCGTACACATTCTTTTTTTTCTCTCTTTCACATTTGTTCTTTCTTCCATTTTCGATTATATATTATATCAATTTTAGAGAAATATATAATATGAACTAATTATGCATAAATTAATGCATAAACAATCAAAGAAAAATATTATTATTGATTTTTAGTGCATTTCGAGACACTATTCTTAGTCTCTTCTTTGAAACAAACAATAATTTAGTTCCCCAGATAGACATTTGGACGCATTTTTTATACATAATTGCAGCATGTGTCATATAAAAATTGTAGCATATTATTTATCCAAAAATGCGTCCGCACGATATTAATTTTGTTGATATGTTATAGTCGGCGCCTCCTCCTCCCGTCGTATATGCGACTAAGATGGTGGCAAAAGGAGCCAGCACCGTCGCAGTTCTGGAAGCCTTTGGCATCCCGCCCCAGGTGGGACGCAGGGCCAGAGATTTATCCCTGGTCCTTCCTCCCCTCCGAGAGAGAGTGAGCCAGAAAGGCTCTATGCGGCATGCTACAAAATCATATTATTTAGGACCTCGATCCTAAATAGCTGTTTGAGCAGCGTATCAGCCACATTACATGCTGCCCAGACAATATTCAGTTGCCGGGATTGCGAGCGAGCGTACATCTGCTCGCTCACGTCCCCGGTGTCCCCTATAAATTCCAAATTGCATATTCTGAGAGCAATAAATATAGGAAACATGTTAAAATAACAAATTCCAAAGCAACTAATTATTTTAACATAGCTTGCTTTTGTAGCAAACTGACATCACTGTACCTATCACTGTATTTTAGGTTTATTAAATTAAAATAAACTTTTTTAACAATCTGCAGTATGTTGGAGCAATAAATTAGCAAAAAATTCTGGTATACCTATTTTGTTTTTCATCTTTAAATGTTTTTTAGAAGTTGGGGTGCTAGCTTAATGTTAAGTCAACATTCCCACTTTTAACATTAATTTTCCACTGTTACGTTGATTCAATAAATTCCAGACTAAATTAGGGAGCAATAAATTAGCACTTAATTTTGCTATATATGAGAATTCAATTTTTTGTGATGAAAGTGCTAAGTTAACAGACATCAAAATTGCATCAATGCAATTGCAGTTAATTATAAATGCAAAGGATGGATGAAATAACAGACAATCTGAGATATGGAAAATTTAAATCAACTGAATGATACCTTCACTAGTATATTCATCACTGGAATCTTCATATTCATTACTGCCGGTGTCAGAGTGTCCTATTGCATGTGGATGAGAATAGCGCAGAGTCCAATTCTTAGCTAACTGAAGAGTTCCCTCGGTTGTTAACGGTTGATCTATAGCTTCCTCGAATATCTCATTGTCCTCATCAGAATCACTAAAATATAGATATAGAATAATAGATTGAATAATGCTATTCTAGCACAATTCGACATAAAAGAAAACATTAAAAAATATTTTAATTTATCCCCACCCCTTTTTAATGAGTTTTCATCAATCTCCAGGATTATCAGCATTTTTATACTATTTGTTTTTACTTTCCTTGCTGAAGAGGTCAATCTGCTCTATCGCAGTAAATAAATGAAAAATCTTTATAAATTTTTATTATTTTTTCACCACACTATAAGAGTTATTGTACTACTTTTTAAACAAAAAATGGGAAAAGCTTTTTTTTAATGAAAATACCGCTGACATTAGCTTTACCCAAAGCACATCATGTGGAGGTTGTACGAATTTACGATCGGATTAACGTGGTAAAATATTGCAATATATTGTTGTGTCCGCGCCGCTGGAATATCGTCGCTCGATATCACACTCGATTGAGATATCGCGTGTGCCGTAGAAAAGATCGAGACGCGTCATATCAATAAAATGACAGCGGAGAGTTACGCTTGGTCCTTGCTGCTGTGAGAACGCGTTTCGAGCGCGAGCCGGTTATTCAAAGAGTCTAAGATTGTGTCTAAGACTGTCGTTATTCAAAGAGTCTAAGATTGTGTCTAAGATTGTCGTTATGCTTACTATATTAGGGCCGTTTTGTGCTTATAACGTGTGTTGTTCTTTCTTTCTTATGCGTGCACTCGTAAGTGGTTGACGCGAGTGTAACAATATGTGCATATATAATTTACCTCATATCAAAATTGTCATCACTGGATCCCATTTCCGTAGTAGAAGCACCAAAATTTTTATCTGTCCACTCATCTTCGTCCATTTGGCTGTGAGCTTCCTCAGGATCTGATATCTCTGCTAGATTTTCGAATTCAATTCTCTCAGGAGTTTGACCACGGTCCAACAGATCAAGTCCAACAATACCTTCCAATGGCAATTTAACCTGAAAACACATATATGTTATATCTATAATGTTTAAATTAACATTTCAAATATGTCATACAATATTATACAAAATTATACCTTATCTGATGTATCCAATGCAATCATGGTATTAGGTACATTTTCTTTGTTCACTAAGCTGTTCTTCTTTTTATCTATTCTAGTTTTTAGTGTCCCTGATAATCCAAAGTGTTGTGTGCAGTAAAAACGTCCTCCATTTTTCTCTCGATCAAACGTATGATTTCCTACAAAATAAAGTAATGTTAGGAAATCATTAAGAGAAATATGATTTAAACATATTCCATACTTTGTGTAATGTTTTGATTGCCATATCGATTATACTATATCAAATTTATATACTTAGAGATCAAAGTTCTTTACGTTTATGGGTACAGAATTCGCTATTTTCATTAGTTTGAAAATTTTTAGCTTTACATAGATTACTGTGTGTAAATTTAAAAATATTTACATTTATATTTATTTTTGACACCATATTTTTCGTTCAACATTTTAATACAAAGTATATCAGATAAAACTTAATGTTTACAGAATCATATATCTAATTAAAAAAATATTTTAATAAATAGTGATAAATTAAACATAAACACATACACAATAATCAATACAAAATAAAATTGTTGTAGGATGTTGTAGATGAATTAAACTAAGGAAATAAACCAGAATATTTCAAATATTTAAATATACCAAATATTTTACATCTTTACTCTCATAAACGTGTTATTCCATGACTGCATAAAATAAAAAAATTTCTTACATTTATCAAAAAGGTTGTTACATACTCAAGAAATCTGTAAATCCTCAAAAATTTTGCGTTTTTTTTTTTAAATCTAAACATAGAAGAAATTATTTAATCTTTACGTCTTTATATTCATAATTAAGGATTACAGTTTTTGCTGAATTCCTTGTTTAATTTACAAACTCTTGTTATTTTTGTATTTATAAATAAACAAATTATAAATAAGATTACCTTCTAGTTTTATTTTTGATAATCGAAATAGCATTCAAAATGTTATAAAAGAGACAATTATTACCTATTCTTAACGAGATGGAACAATATTCACATCGGAAACAACCGCGGTGGAAAAATTTACCTTCCGCGCTAAGTCTTTCCATTAAATAAACTCGTTTATTGCAAAAGTGGCACATCTCTGAACTTCCTTGTACTGGTAATACAATGGCGGGCTTAGTATTCTACAAGAATAATTTATACAATTTGATAATAATTTAACAATGACAAATATTTGTTATTAGTAACAATATTTTCTTATAAGACACTTTTAAATCCTTGTATTAATTGTTACAATCTACAATATATCTATACAATTATCAATACAAATATCTATACATTATATCTATACAAATTATTCCAATAATACAATCGCTAAAAGGATAATTCTTTATAAAAAAAAAAATAAACAATATTTATTCAAAAAGATATCTTTTTAGAAAATTTTGATATACGTGGTCGCACTAGGATTAAATATTGTGACAACTGAATATCCTATAAAGCTTTCAATAAACATGCCTAAACAACAATTTTTTTAACACTAATCTTCCATAATCATCATCATTTATCATCTGATAATTAAATAGATTTCTTTTATAAAGCAAAAAATATAATAGCATTTATATTACATTATATTACATTATAGATAAAATTTTAACATTCTGCTGACCAATTTTGCATAGAGATCGTAAAAATTATATTTACCGATTTTTGCAGCGTAGGCTCCGTATCCTGACTTTTACTTGAAAATTGTTCAGCCATGACTGCAACTTTATTGTATCCGATCGTACTACCCTCTCGAATCTTCTTGCCTATACTTTTCAGAGTATTATCTATATCAGCGTACTTACTATATGTGTCTCTTTGATCATTGCCCCGCTTTTCTATCTTAATCTGCCGAGCTAAAAACTGAATGGTACATATATACATCTGAAAATAATACAAAAACGTCAACTTACTGAGCTTTTCTACCAACCTGCTCGCGACTCCACTTCGGCACTCTCTCTACATGATTATGACGAATACCGCGGCTCATTTTATTCTCTTCAATTTTCTTTTCGATTTCCTTTACGTTCCAATCCGTTTTTTCGATCTTACCTACACGCAAAAAATATTTTATTATTTAATTTGACAATTTATACAATAGTACACACTTCAGTCAAATTAATTTTAATAAAGTAATATAAATATATATGTATATACAAAATAAGTCGTAAATTTTTCACATTAAAATCATTTCAAAATTTTTGCACACATGCACACACCATTATACTTAAATATTACATTGACATGATTAAATCTCAATTATACTTCATAAAAGTTAATTATTAAATAACGGTAAATTTTCATTTCTTTGTATTGTTTTGAAAAAGACTTTTAAGAAATCTTCAAACTATTATATACGCATATATACAAGGTATTTTGTTTTACAGAACACATTTTATTATCTTAAAAACGATTAATGATTATATAAAAATAAAGCAGAGTAATTGGAATCACTTTGATAACGCATAAATATTGACTTTAGCAAAAATTCATCTATATAAATATTGCATAATTCGAAAGAGACCATGTAATAATTTTCTAAGTAGAAAAATTAATCGAAATTGAAGGTTACCTTATAATCTTGAAAACTATAGGTGATTAAAATATAATTTGAATATTATGCTACATGATCTCTTTCAGATAATAAAATATTTATGTAGTTTAATTTACGCTAAAATTAATATTTACAACATTGTCAAAGTGGTTCCTGTTACAAAGTGTCTCTTTGTATACAGCTGTAGACATAAAAAAGCTTTATTAAAATAAAATAAAAATAAGAAATGTATACGAACCAATGGCACGTAAAAGATCTTTGGGTTTCTTTTCACTGGATGCCGTTCCTTTTAGTTTATCCTCGAAATTTTTTATTCTTCCCGAAAATTCTTCATCAACACTACATCTTCGATAAGCAATGTGCATCTTAGTTTCTCTGTCCTAAAAATAACTGACAAATTAATAGAAATTTCTGTGAAGCGATTGTAGGAGATTAATAAGAGTACACAAATAATGCGAGCATAAATTGAGTGGACATCTTATAAAAAGCATTTTCAATGTAAATGCATATAATTTCAATGTATATGTACAAAGTTTTTCACAAACATTTTATATTATTGAAAAAACAACTTTTATTTAAAACATTTTTTATTATAATGCGTACTTTCAAAGAGATAATAGCTTGTAATATTTTAAATAGATCACCCTTATATATTTGTGTGTGTGTCATTTTTTAATATTTTTTTCGTGTGGCTGTGTTAACTTAAAATTTAAGCTGGTTATACAATTATTTTTTTACAGAACAGCAACATGATTGAAAATACAAAAATAATTTAGCGACAAAATAGCACTAAATTTTTGTATATATTTAATTTGATTATGCTGAAGTGACTGAATCAGCTTAATAGACATATAAATACATATTTAAAAATATTTCATTTCATTCTTCTTCTTTCATGGAAATATTTTGAAAATGCTTTCATTTCAATTACAATTTGAGTTGTGAAAATAAAATAAGTCCGGTGATGCCAAATCTGTTAAGTAGTAAGAATGGCACAGCGTTGTTATTTGCAAAAAACAACAATATCGACAATGTAAGCTAATGCATTATCATGCACAGAAAATTCTTCCAAATTATAAAATTTAAGTCAGATATTATGAATATTCTCAACACAATCGTTTCAATATAATCATTATATATATGTGAATATAATAGAAGTTTCTCAACTACATATTTGTTAGTTTCTGGTTTACAAAGAGATTCCACTTTTGGTCACGAAAAAGCAGGTATATATGCACATTACAGTCTCGTATTTTTATATACATATATACATATCCGTCCAGCGAGAGAATATACCTGGTTTAAACGAAAACTCGTCCGTTTCGCGCAAGTTTCCCTCACGGAACTTGTTAGAAAGCCCCCCCTCCTTCCCCACTCCACATTACTGTACTGCTCGTGCAGCTTGTCAATGCCAACGCTCTTCCCACTTTGGCCACTATGCTTCTCCTATTCGCAAAAAGGGGTATATTTTCTCGCTGGACAGAATATAGTGCGGGTTTCTTCTGGAATACAACTGTAAGGACCTATTCAGACAAACTTACATAGTCGCATAAACATATGGATAAGGAAATTGATTGGTCCATAAGCAAATACATAAGGAAATGGACCAATCAATTTCCTTATGCATATGTTTATGCGACTATGCAAGTTTGTCTGGATAGGCCCTAAGTTAAAAAAAATTTATAACTGAATATCTATCAATTGCTAAAGCGTTGCTGTTGATTCCTATATCAACTTTGATAACCATTTTATTGGTTGCTATCGTACATTCATCAAAAGAAAATAAAAAATTAATACTAATTGTACGTGATTCATTTGTAATATAAGAGAAGAATTAATTATATATGTATGTATTAATTTTCACACACACGCACGCACGCATGCGGCATCTTTTGTTTAGCAGAACAATTAAATTCCTGACAATGAATAAGAAATCCTAAGAAATGTTTAACATAAAGACAAATAATATTATCAACTGTATGATAACAGTAAAGAAAATAGTATGTATAGCTTATGCCTCTACCTGGTCTGGTCTGCAAAAATAATATAGATTTTAAAAACGCATGTACCTAGAATTCGAAGATCTAGCAAATGTGAGATTAATGCTCATTTTCACCAATATAGATTAATTTTAATCTCGGTTCAACTTACTCTTCATCTTTTTCTAGTTCTAAGAATTAGAAAAAGATAAAGAATAATTTAACCGAGATTAAAGTTAATCTACGTTGGTGGAACCGGGCATAAGGAATCTATTGAAACCTGTTCTCGACAAAAGACTAAAAGTCATTACACGTAAAAAAGTTTTAGTCGTAACGTAAGCAAATCGACCAATCACATTGAGCAGTAATGAGAGTGACTTAAAAATTTTTTTGTGTGATGACCTTAAAACTGTAGGCTTCTAGTAATCAGCAGAGTATTGTAATGAGGATAATCGCTAATCCACATAACTCTAAGATCATAAATTCACCCACTTCTATTACTTTTACTACTAAAAATTGTGCCACTTATAATTAAAAGTACATAAAATGACAAAGAAAAAAATTAACAGAATTTGAAAATTGAATTTTTAAGTTTTAAAAGGCTTGTTACTCTATAACTTTTTTCGCAAATTTATATTTCATATTTTACCATTTTTACCACTGACTTTTCACATATTTTTGTCATTTTAATTTTATTGAAGAGTGTATTTAAAACTAAAAGTCTGCAAATGTAGCATCAAATCTAGTATAAAGAAAAATATTTTTAGTAAAATATTTTTGTTCTTCGAAAATATAGAAAATATTTAAAATTTTATATTTGGCAAATTAAAATATTAAAAATCCATGAATTTACAAATTTAATAGTCTATAAAATTATCTCTATAATTTATGTGTATAAAAATTCTTAAGCATCCTATGTAAATTAAAAAAAATAATTTATAAATCTAAAGATCTTATCCAAACATTGATAAATTGAACAATATCTGTGTATTCAAAGATTTATAAATACAAATATTTATATACACACATATACAAATATCTATATCACTGTGCTATGAACTGATATATCGCTCGTGTCGAGCAGTATCAATGTGATCATTGTTATTGATGAGATCGTTCTTTATTACTTTGGCTTATTTAATTTTTTTCTATTTATTTTAAATATCTTTATCTAATATTTCAGTGTTTTCCATGCGATCTAAACTCTTTTTTCTCTAATCCCTTGCATCTAGTTGAATTAAAGAGAGAACAAAATTGTGGTCAATTTCCCGTATATTAATTTATAGTATCTTTTGTGCTCTAACATCCATATTTTCGGTTCTTGTAGCTTTTTTGTAATTATCTATATATTAAAAGACCTATAAGACTAACAAAAATAAATAAAAATCAATGTATCCGTTAATTCAACAATTTTATTAATCAAGCATATTAATATAATTTATGCAAATCTTTTCTCAAATAGGTTTAGTAGCAAACATATTAATTAAAAAAGTATACTATCATGCTAAGTATTTTTTTAAAACAGTATACTGTTATTTCAAACATTAAAAAGTACAGATTCCTCATCTGTACTTATGATTAGTCTATAGCTTACTGGATAAAGAATTTTCTGCTCTAAATCTTTTACTCTGTCCTTGAAATTTGGTGCAGTTTGACGATATAAGAAAATCGAATAATCTTCAAAAGCTTCATTTTTCTCACACTTTGCATTGCCTTGCAATATCTGCATGCTTTTATAGAATTGCTGAGTTGCCAACTTGCGCAAGTATTGTCGTCTCTTCATACGCTCGGTTCGACGTTTTTCAATCTCATCAAGACATTTCTGCCTTTCCTCCTTAATTATGAATTGAAGATTATTATTATTTATGCGATTAATCACAAATTATGAATATTGATTTTTTCCCTATATTTATTCTCGTTTTTTATTTTGAATTAGTTGAATCCTAATATTTCCTGTTACATTAGGTATTATTTTACTATTTCACTTTCCTTGATAATGTTGAAGTGATAAGCGAGTGAAAAGCGAATGATGTCTTCTACCTCTCATACACTTTTTCATTCTAAACTGATAGCATATGCAATTTTGTACATATTATATAAAAATAAAAATAAAAGCTTAAAGAAAAGTATCTATTTAATTCCAATGAATTAAAATTAGAAAAAATCCGATTACATTTCTGCGATTACTGCGAGAAAACATGAATCAACAATATATAATGTGTGTAAATAAGACTCTTTGACACTGTAACTCTTAGATATCTTAGTTCCTCTTTTGAATCGCATAGGATACATTAAAACAGAAAAAATAAAACTATCGAATAGAGGACCACCAATGACTCAATGACCTTGACCTGAAAGGGAGGGAAGGGGGGGTATGTTATCAGGATTACTCAAAGTAACCATTTTAAAAATTTTAGTCGGCGCTCATAATTTATTACCAAACTAAAAAAGTTATTAACAAAATAAGTTTAATAAATAAAACGTTATTTTCTGACACCATGTATTACACGTTAGTGGAATTTACTTACAATTAGCAGATTTATTTGTTTAAAAGTGATAAATTAAATGCGTGTATTTTAGTTATCGCTTATTGTTTATTAAAAAGTTATTAACAATTAAATTTAGCAATTCAATTAATTAATTATTCGATTAACTTCTTAATAACTTTTTAATAAACAATAACGACCGAATAATGAGAGATAAACTTGATCATTTCACCTTAAAAATAATAACTTTACAAGACATAAAAGAGATCTATAAGGCAAGACAGTTTTCGCACTTTGCATGAGCGAATAACTCAGCAGAACTGAAGTAAATAAAAAAAATTTTTCAGTTAGAAAAAAAAAGCAAATTTCTTTCCTAAAGCCTACATTCTAAGTAAAGTACATAAGCTTCTTTTTGCTACTCAAGCGAATCAAAATCAACAAGAGGAGAGTTGATGTATTCGAATTTATGCGGTCCAATGGAAAAAGAATTTATTAATAGATAAAGATACTTTTTTCTCTTATTCAAGGACTGTATACTTTTTGAAACAAGTAGTACAAGTAGTACAAATAGTACAAGTGAACGATAAGCTAGATGATTTCTCTTTTTATGTAGTATGAGTCAACGTCAAGCTAAACATTTTCTGTGGGGCATCGAATTAAGTTAGCGAGAAAGTCTGCTCGAAATCGAAATTCTTTTCAGATTTCTCTCGCATGATTGACTAGTGCTGCTACCGTCTTCTCCCTTATTGGTTTCGTCGAACCATTTGTGCCCAAACATTTTCGATCAAATTTAGATCTGGTGCAGGTCAACGAGCAGGCCAGTTGAGCAATTGGATCTCCGGATGATTCCGAAACCATGTGTTTCATGCAATGTGTGGACTGCGGAATTATCCTGCATCAATTGGATAACTGGTATGTTCTCTGCGGAGTAAATTGCGCGTACTGAAAAAAAATATCTTCCAGTATGCGAATATATTCCACAGAGTTCATGCGTGTGGAAATTTCCACCAGCTCTCACCGATTGTAGTGCCGGAAATTCAGCCCCACATTGCGCATGATATCCTCTCACATCTGTGAATAGGCACAACATGGTTTGGATTCAACCGTTCACCTCTTGCAAAGCATGATCACCATCATCAATAAACCATTGAATCCATCGTCGGACCGTTTTTTCAATGCATGAAATAGCAGCAGCAATTTCTGCCACTGTTCTTCCCTGCCGCTATCCGACAATACGATCTCATATTTCAAGACACAAGTTCCGAGGCATCGTTATATTCCATTATTTTATTTTCTCTATTTCGGCGCCAAATGCATGGTAAAATATTTTCTTCTAACATTTTGCTTGAAATTTCTATTCTTCGATTTCCTTTTAAATGCCGCTTTTTTTGTGTTTTATGGAAACATCTAAATTTTCGATGATGCATTCCATGATGACATCTTTTTACTGGGTTATTTGCAATCATTCCCGAAAAGCTACAATTACATTCCGAATAAGCGGCAACAATCTTTTAAAAAATTCCAGAATCGGACATTTCGCATCGTTTGAACAATAAAGCACGTGGTATACGCAAAGTTTTAACAATATTTCTCAAAATAAAATATGCCATGTTAGCTATAAAGGCTATTTCAACTTCTAATGCCCATTTCCACCAATGTAGATTAACTTTAATCTCGGTTCAACTTACTCTTCATTTTTTTCTAGTTCTAAGAATTAGAAAAAGGTGAAGAGTAAGTTGAACCGAGATTAAAGTTAATCTACGTTGATGGAATCGGACATAAGTGTGTACGAAAACGCATATATAAAAAAATATGTGTCTCTTATTTTTAATTATTCTACAATATATTCAACATCCGTTAAAATCGGAAGGAAACAAGTCCGTCACTTCTCTTGTTAGTTCTTAGAAAGACTTGTCACAGTTATAATAAATTACATAACAAAATTTATTCTACTTACAATTGTTGCGCCCACTTTCTCGGTGCTACGCCTTTTTCGACATCGGCGACTAGCTGTATTGTCCTTCTTATCCGAGTAAGTTTGTAAATTTTCATTAACGTATCGCGAGCGGGAGTGTCGCGCTCTTGTTATCTTTTCCTCAGATGTCAGTTGTTTTAATTGCTTTGGACGTGCAGTGCATTCCTCTGTTTCTAGTTCCTATTCCAATAAAAAATGCTTTATTAAATTCATGATGATTGCGATATATTTTATAAATATTTTCTGACATAAATATTTTCTGTATCATTACATTGTATATATTTCATTACTTTTTTCATGATAAATATACTGTCAAATAAATCTTTTCGTAAATTATAAAACATCTTGAATCAAGTAAATGTCTTCCCTTTTGCCCGAATCGCCGTTTCCGACACTGACAAGCCAGTCTGGAGCGTCAGGAAAAATGAACCGTTTTAATTATACATATACCGTTTATTATATATAACCGCTTTTATTATTTATATATATATATATATACACACATATATACATATATAGATATAACATTTTATTATATGTATATGTCACCAAAATCAATTAAAAGTAGAATTTTAGAGAAAATTTTAGTTTTAACAAATATCTTTCGTTAAATCTAAAACTAGTCAAAGCTAGTTTTAACTAAAGATATACAGGATGTCCAAAAAGTCCCGGAATGGTCAAGTATCTCGATGCAAAACATGTAAAAAAAATTTTTTTATAAAAAAGGCAAAATTTTTTATCTTTAAAGTTACTTACCAATTTCGCATGTTTGACATATGGAATTTCGCCTTTGAAAGCTTGATATATTTGTGTTAAATAAGAAAACATGACAAGTTTATCAGGAACATCGCATTGGGCCATTTCTGTTCCAGTCATTATCTATAAGCATAAATGTTTTCAATTCTCTCGTGTTAAAAGATATAGTAAATTTAATTTGATATCTTATGATTAGCGCGTACTAATGCAAAGTAAAGCCAGTTGGAACATTTTAATTTATCTAATAATATAATATAAAATACTTGGCCATGTTTTATTAAAAACAATCTTTGTAAAATGATAAATTATTTTATGCGTATCGCACAAATCCAATCCGTTATTACGTATATCTATGTTTTTTACATCGAATTGCGTGAATATTTCTAACACATACATTTAACACATTCTACGCAAACATATTCATCTCCATCACCAATAAACTATCAAATTTTTTTCTTTATATTATGGTTCTATAGCATAAAATTAATTTAAAAAATGTTCTTTTGTAAAAAAAAGACAGATGGAAAAATCGAAGTTGAATTTCTGCATCAAATGTATTAATGTGCAATCAGTACGCTCTAATACATCTAATTAAAGTTATTAAATAAAAATCTACAAACAATTAATATAATAACAACTTTCTTAAAAATAGTAATAGCATATTTTTATAGTTTAGCATTTTTGTTCACTATGTAACTTATTTGAAAAGTTTAATTCAAAAGATCGAAATATTTCAATCTCTGGAAAAACTATTTCAAAGATACTAGAAATACAAAAAAAATACAAAATCTACTTGTCCACGATATAGTAGATGTCTATAATTTTATCCGACTGGCTACTACTTATTTCGTTCTGTTCTAAAATTATTTGTCATAAATGAAGAAATATCATGTCCGTTATCAACGAAATTATTAAACAGATTATGCCTTTTATTTCTTTATTAAAGCGAAAAAAATAAAAGATACTCACAGATGAGATATTCAATTCCTTTTCCAGCGTGTCAAAGGCAAGTTGATTATTCTTCACTACATCTTCCGCATTTAAACTGTAAAAATCTATTAGGTCTGGACGGTATCTATGAATAATCGCACAAATAGCTAAACCGTCTTTGAAAGAGGCACCCATATCTTCGATGTGAACTTTATCGTACAGTGCAACTTGTTTCTGTAGCCAGCGAAGTAACGTGTCCGGATGAACTTGAACATCAGTTCTCAGGTCTAAAAAAATATTTTATCTTCATATTGACATTAAATAGTCAGTTAAAATATGCCTTTTTTGATTAATATGATAGACGACGTTAAGTCAAAAAGTAAAAAGATCTTTTTCATTCCTAATTAGAAACGTCTCTTCATTTTTTGACTTTCTCATATTATTTAGTGAACGCACTTTATTGATATATTTTGAACCCTTTGCGGTTTCAAGCCGAAATATTTCAGGCATATAAGTCATTTGCTGCACAAAACTAATAACATCAACGGAAGTTACGTCACCAAGTGGCTCAAGATCGCAAAGAGTTAAGATGTAATAATGTTCAATTTTATAATAATTAATTAATAAATAATTAATCTCAAATCTTATTAGTAGCAATATGTATGTAATTACATAGAACTCACCACGACGTCTTCGTTTCTTTGGAATATCTATTTCGGGTGGTATCGCAGGTTGTTTGACGCTCTCAGGATCATCTGTGTCGAGAAGACTGCACACTTGTATCGGGGTTACAGAACGTACGTTAAGATTTGGATACCTTGAGGAAAGTAAAAGAAAAAAAGTTTAATTATTTCTTTTTTCAATACTATACTATATAAATTTTATGTTTGAGATTTTCTTTCTAAATCCTTGCAACTCAAATGCTAATTAAAATTTTTTAAATGTAATTAATATTTAGCGTTAAAAATTCAAAGCGTTCAGCGTTTCAAATTCGTACTATGTGTCGTTTACATCGCCAGTGACATGAAAAATATAATGCTTCAAGAATACGTGATGAGAGATACGAAATAGAAAAGGAAGTCTTTGAACTTCCAATATGATTATGATATTCCAGAAGAGGAATAAGTAAAACTAGGAGGATGAAAAGCAAGAAGATAAAGTATATACGTATATCTTCATCCGCTGATTTTATTTACTTCTTTTTTGGAATATTATAATCATTGTGCAAATCTCCAGACTCTTCCTTTCCCATTTTTCTCATCACGCATTTTTTGTAGCATTCTATTGCATGATTCTACGTGTCACTTTACGTTCTTTAGAAGTTATTGAACAATTTGATTACAGTTTATATATCTTACCTAGTATGAGGATCCAGTGTGTACGCGGCATAATCTCTATTCAAATTTTCCGGTGTCGTCTGTCCCAGTAATCTATATATTGATTCGCGTTCGGCGATTACTTCTAATGGTAATAGCGAACTTCCCCAACCTTTGATTGCCCAGCCCGCATCCAAGGAACTTAGAAATCCTCTTGCGCAACCAGAGCCAGTAGGCCAAAATGGCTGTAATTATTTTTAACCTTAGTTTGTATCTCAAAACAAGTAAAAAAAAAAAAATGTGAATCTAAGAATCTGTGAAATGTTCCTAAGAAATGAGAAGATTTTCAAAAATTTAAGTAGACAAAACTCAAAATTAATCTTGAAACAAAAGACTTTTAGCTTCTGCTTAATTCTATACGCAAATTCTTATTATAAATTAACAATTTTATGTTTTCTTTTTTTATATTGTGATTTGAAGCTTAAACTTATTTTAAATTATAATTTTTGTATATATATTTTTATTTTCAGTCAAAACACTTAAAGATATTATTTAACAAAAAAAAAATAAAATCTGAAAAATTATATATTCCGAATAATATAAAATAATAAATAAGCAGAGCATCAATCTCAAAATCTCGCATTATATTGTTTGTGAAATAAGTGTAAACGTTAAAAAAATCAATAAATCTGAAATAAATCAAAAATTGTTCTTTTTAACACGTTGAATGCCATGTTGGGTCACCAGTGGTTTTCATAAGTTAACATACTACAAAATTTTAATGAGGCCTGATGGGTGAGACAGCAAATTAGCGTGGCATTCAACGTGTTAACAATTAAAAAAATTGATATAGATTACATTAATGTCGAATTTTACATAATTTTATAACCAATCGTGAAAAATATATATTTACTTCAAGGAGACTATCTCCTACAAGCATCATGAGTAATTTATGACCATGACGCTCCAATACGCGACTTGCATTTTCCGCTGCATACATCGAAGTAAAATCAAACATAGCCACATCCGGTTGGCCGTAATGATTTACTGCAAACTCCATGTCCATCATCTGATATTCTGTCGAAAACTCCGCCGCTTCTCGCGCATACAACATCAGCGCTTCACGGTCCACATTCTCTTTCGCAAGTAGTTTTGCAGTATCGGCATGATCCTAAAAATCAATAATCAAATTTGACTATCGCAAAAAATATAAAATTAAAACAAACAGATCTATGGACTTATATAACAGATTTTATGAAATGTCTACTATAAATTTTGTCGAATTAGTGTTAAATAATTAATTTTAAATAGTGTTTGTTATATAATTATACAGAGTTTTTATATTATTACCTGCAGAATAACCCCTTTGTCAATTAAACTATGCTTCTTAGCAGTCATAACAAAATAATGTGTGTCGTCTTTATAATACACGATGTTTTCCAAGTCGATACCCGTTTCTTGGTACAATTCCTTGAAGAATTTTTGATTAAAAATAAAGGCCACACCACTAATCTCTTCTACGCGAGCCTCTGCTTCGGTTCGTTTATTTATAAAATTTGCCGTAATCGCAATGGCCAGTTTTCCTCGAAATTCTTTTCGTTTAAAACCCTCTAGGGTATTTCTCTTGCCATCAGCTCCGATTAATACATCAAATTCGTATTGAGAAACAGGATGGTCTATTGGAGACGTCTTTGCCCTCCAACCAATCTCTAAAAGAGTAAATAATAACATTGTTTCACACATTGGTAACACACATTCAATAATGACATTGAAGTAATTAAATTCATTAAACATAAATTGTCAGTATCATGATCAAATATACAGCGCTTTTTGGTTGAAATGCGCTGCAGCGGAGAGATTAATATTGAAAAATAATTAAATATTTAGCCCTTTTGCAACAAATAGTTATTATAGTGGCTGCCTGCTAAACTATCCCAATTTAATATTTTTTACAAAGGCGATAAATTGTGTAACAAAACAAACTCTGCATCAATTCGGCGCGGACTTTGTTCGTCACATAATGCACACTCGCGCGTCCCGGTTTTTCCACATGGCGGTATTGTTATGGTAACACACTTCGCCATCGCAAAAAAGTTAAATACGCCTTTCATCTTAACACGGTACTTTTAACCAAAAAAAATTTTTAAATATTCTATTGTTAATTATATTACTTACTACCATCCTCTTGACTATCCGGTGGCAGAATCAAAGAATCGAAGCTTACACTTTCGTGAAACTCGACACCGAGAATTAGAGCAACTTTTAACAAAATGCATTGCAATTGTCGAATACTGATGTGATCAATGGAACCTGCGCAAAACTTCCCAAAAAATTTCTTCGCTCCTAAACCTCGTAAATCCTGGATAACGAAAGGCCACAGATGCAAAACGTTGTTTCTGGACATCCGGTCCCTCTTCTCCACCACAACGACTTTGGCTCCCAACAATTGCGCTTCTATTGCCGTACGCAAGCCACACGGACCTCCGCCGATAATCAAAACCTAGTAATAAATGAAAAAAAATATTTGTAATAAATGAGTTGCTCAATAATATTATTAGAACGAGACTAATAGGAATTAAAATACAATGAATAAAATTTTCAAGTGGCCCAGTGTTATCGTGCAGAAGAAGCACTCTTCTTCTACTGATCAAATATCTCGAAAACTTTTCGAAAAAAAAATTCGCAAATTAAACAGTTATTGAAAACGCCGTTATAGAATTTATAAATTTTAAGAGCTCAGAATTTTTTAAATCTGGCATATAAAAACTTGTTTCCAAATGAAAGAAGTGTATTGAAGCCAGTGGCAATTATTTCGATTAATAAATATTTATTTTAAGATCCTATAATTTTATCTTTTCTATAATATGATAAATATAATAAATCTTTTGCAACAATCTAATAAAAAAATTGGACAAATTTAAATACAATTTTTAGAAAAATAACTTTAGAAATTTATATTCTGTTAGGATAAACATTGAATCTATTTGTAGATTATGTAAAAAAATATTTTTTTAAAATATATTTCAGTATGTTTCTTTATAAAAAAATTTTTTAATTATATTTAATTTTTAGAACCTGTCTTGTGCATAAATAAAAAACGTTAGACAAAAAAGCTATAGATAATTGAAAAATAAAAACTTACTCTTGTATTTTGGCATGTTTTGCCGCGATTATAACATTTGTGATTGGCTCGCTGATCGAATTTCTTCCATAAAGCTTGCGCCTTCCACGATCGCAACTTCGTTTTCAGTTTTGGATAAAATTGATTAATGACATTTGGTCGAATTCTCAGCAATTCACATAGTTGTCTATAATAACCGACGATAGATTTTAATGTTGTGGCATTGCAAAACTGATCGAACACTTCGCTGGCCAACGCCATTTCTGGAGAATTGGACGGTTGCTTCTTGCCGATCTGATCCATCTCGTCCTGATCCTTAGTTTCAAATTTCGAAATAATTCTTTAATTCGTCATTATCTGCAAAGAAATATCTGCGTTTAATTTTGGAATTATATCTTTTAATTTTATTAAGAAATAAATTAAAATTTGGTGAATTATTTTTCTTGTAAAATACATGTTATTGTAAGAAACAAGACTATGATGATTTTAACAATTAATTATAAAAAAAAATAAAGGACTTAAGAGTCAAAAGTCATATTTTGGTGCCAAAAACCGTATTTACAATAATTAGTAACAAATGTTTCAACAAATTGAATCCTACAAGAGAAAGACTCATATAAAAACTATCAAATATAATATAATAATGGCTACGGAGCCGGTTGTTGGTGCAAAATACTTTTTCATATTAAAATTTATTCTACGTCAAGACATTAAAATATATACCGATCTCAGATTGAGATACTTAGAGTATACGAAAATTAATTATCAATGCGCGAGTGGCTAAACTTGGACTTGGACCTGAGTCTTTCGCTTGCCAAGCGACTCGCGCCCTGATATTTTTTCTCTCACTCCCCCTTCTTTTCTTTAAAAATTTCCTGTTTAATTCGTACATTCTAATTCTCCGTTGTGAGATCAATGTACTTAATTTTCGTACACTCTAAGTATCTCAATCTGAGATGGATTGTACATTTTAATGTCTCGAGGTAAACGAATAAATTTCAATATAAAAAACAAATTATTTCGCATCAACAACCACAACGGTAGCTATTATTATATTCAACAAATGTTTCAGCCTGTCATTAGGCCATCTACATGTTATTTTATTTCTTTATAAAATTATTTGTAGTTTTAAAATAATTTTTAAATAACATATTTAGAAGAGACGGCTACAGTCTTTTTAAATAAATATTTGCAGGTTTTGTTTAAAAATTTTTTTAGAAACTGCAAATATTTATTTTAAAAAACTGCAGCCTACACAATCGACTACACCATTCATCTTGTGTGTATCACTTATGCATTTATTTGACACTAAGGACAATAACGTTCTTGATATGATAAAATTAAAAAATACTTTTTATTATAAATAATATAAATTATATTATAAATATAATAATTATATTATAAATTATATTAAATTATATTATATACAATATTTCTTTAATGGATAGTAATTATCAAACTATTATTCACTTAAAAAAATTGACAACTATAATATATTTATTATAATAGCAAATTGTAATAATAGTAAATTACCATAATAGTAACTTACTCTATTATTATTACTATAATAGTAAATATATTTACTATATTACTACAATTAATATTTACTATGTTACTATAATTAAAATTAAAAATTTCGAGTTTGATAGTATATGCATTTTTTCTTTATGTTCTTATTTCATAATAAATTTATTTATATCAACATCTTACACATACTACAAAAATTATTATTGTCTTATTGTCACAATAAATTTTATTTGTCAAAATATATACAAAATAAAAATGTCTATTAAAATTTTGCGTGTTTCTCAAAATAAATAAAAAGAAGCCGAGATAAACACCAACTACATTTCCATTATGCTCAAATAAAAAACAGGCTAGCGTAAATAAATTATTTTCTTAATTTCACTAAGATATATAATAATTCGTTCATTCACAATATATAATATTTTTTTGTGAACAACCATAGCACCGCATATCGAAGATACCAATAGTACCGTGTTCTTTTTCGGTTCGTTGAACTCACGGTCTGATAACTTTGTAGCTCGTTTTACGGCATATTCAACATTTCGCCGAAGAAAATGCAGAAATTCGAAAACTTTCTCCATGAATTTATGGAAGAAACAAAGAGAAGGATATCGGAAAAAAATGTAAATCTGTTACAAAAGGAAAAAATCCGTTAATAATATTAAATCCTTCTCCTCAATCGTAAAAATATTTATATAATCAAGTAACAATTCAAAAAATAAAGAAAATTGAAGGAAACGTAGTATGTATTATAAACAAAAAACAAATAACCTAATAAAAGCCTTTTATTTTTGTCTAATTTTATACAAATATTATAATAAAATTATAATAAAATATTATAATAAATTTATATATTATATATTATATTTATATATATTATATTATATATTATATTTATATATTATATTTATATATTATATTATAATAAAATTTAATAAAATTTTTTAAAAATATTTAAAAAATTATATTTTACATATTCTCTTTCTCTCTCTCTCTTTTACACGCAATTTTATACATTCATTATATCTTTTCTAATAGATATAATACAATATTGGTCGTGTTTCAAACAGCAAATCAATATTAACAGAAAATCACTTCTATCTCAGTTTGTACAATGATGCTCTCTCAACTTCTTTATTTCCTTTCAATTTCTCTCGTTCCCTCTCAATCTTCCTCCTCTCTCAATTTCTTGCTTTCTTTTATTCTTTTTCAATCTCTCTCATTTTCTCTCAATCTCTCTTATTCCTTTTCAATTTCTCATTATTTATTTTCACACATATCATACGGTTTAAATTCAAACTATAATAATTTTTGAACTATCAAATCTGAAATTAATTCGATTAGTTCGAACATATTTTCAGTTCAAAAGATTCAAATTATTTGATATTTAGTCTTAAGATTCGAAATGTCTGAACTGATCACCTCAAATTTCCGAGCATTAGTAACGATTAATTAAATTATATTAACTTTGATAAAAAAAATTGTCACAATACTTGGAATACTTAAAACTTGAAAAAATAATAATTTTTTGATTGTTTTCCATAATGGTTTTGTAGATTAAATAAAAAAATACAAAAAATACAAATTTTTACATCATTTTCATTGGACTATAAATATAGAAAACTACTACTTGGAAAAAAAAAATGTATTCGATAAAACATAATTTCAGCTTTCAATATATCTTATCTTATTGTAAACTGTATGATAATTAGTTACGAAATTATGAGCGCTTAATGTGAAAAGGAAACCGATTATTATTTCACCCATCAAAAAAGTGCACAGCTATTATCCAAATTAAAAGGAAAACTTTTCTCAGATTTTTTTGCACACGATATACGTTTGCAAAAAGATATAAGAAGTTTCCATTTTGTTGAATTCTTCTTTTCTCGTTAAGGGAAATTTCTAGTTTAGACGGCCAAAAATAGGTGATTTTTAGGAATTTTTTAAAAGAAAATAAAAAGAGATATCAAAGTGCGACTTTTTGCATTAAATATGTTGTAGTTTACTTTAAAAATATTTTTTTAAACAATTTTTATAAAAAAAATATGACATGCACGTTATCCACAAGATGACGCGTTTTACGGGCTAATCGGCGGCGTGATAGCATCATAATTTTTGATCTGGAAAAAAAACAATAAAAATATTCTTAAAGTTAATAAAATTCTTTAGGTAATAAACCTAAAAAACTAAAAAAAAAAAAAATACAAAAAAAATTCACAAAATAGCGGCATTTCAAGGTTAAGGATAAATTTTTTGCTCTTTTTTTGTTATTTTAGACCCATTAAAAAACAGTAATTTTTTAAAATTGTTATATAGATTCATCCCCCAATAAAAACATTCTACTATACAACAAAACTGAACCGAAGTTAATCGGTTGATCCGTTTTAGAATTATTACGTCCGCCAGTTTTGAAAACATGGTTTCGAGAAAATCGCATTTAAAGGTGATGGTAATTACATTACAAATGCCGGCTTTTTTTTAAATTTACCTTTAATCATCTATTATTTCAGGCCCATACAGTAAGCCTTCGGTTTCAGCCCAGATTGAAATTGTTCTAATTCGCTTTTAGTTTTTTTTAACCTTGTGGAGAACGAGTGACGCTCGGGCAATCGCTATGCGCTTTCTGTCAATATCATCAACAAACATTTTTGTTCGTGAGCCAATAACAATTCTCAGCACGTTCATCATTTTTAATAGAGCAAGATATTATTAAAAGCGCACGCTGCTATGCGGCGATTTTAATCATTTTTGCGCTGGAATGCAAATGTTTCGGAACAAGCATGCATACGCAAGAATTGAAACTCGTTGTTATTTTGCGTATTGCCTCCGGTGTATTATAAATTATTCGACGATAAATCGAATGATTTTTAACACTTCTTCATTCAGAGGATTATGATAAAATAATTCAAGCTCGCCTCTTTACTTCCGCTTGTCGCCACTTACACCAACTGTCTTCTCCTTTTGGAATACATATATGTTGTGGATTATATATTGTCTGTCGAGCTCTTATGGTAGTACGTGGTCCACACAGCATTTTTCATATCTTCCGCACAATGAAAACTCTTTCTAGACCGTAATATGTTGTTAATTTAGTAATAACCGTCTGTTAATTTTTCGGAGCCTTTTTCTCCGATGCTTTCGATAGATTTTTTTGCAGCTTGAGTCAGGGTAGACTCACATAATAATGGAATAGAGATGTATTTATTATCCATTTACTATAAACAAATTTGAATCTGTCGAAAAACCGTCGTCCAAATCATCTAACATAACTACACCTGCACTCCGAACGCATGGATTTTGCCTCTACATCTCGTTTTACTCAATAGCGTGTTTTTCGAATTTGAAAAAATCTTTTTACACACAAATTTTAGATACATAAAGGATTCAGAAAATGAAAAGCAAAATCGATTTTTCGAAACCTCCAAACTAAAAGTCTCCCTTAATTAGCTTGATTAAAAAATTTATAATTAGCAAAAAGTATTTAATAATATAAAAAATAGACATTTAGAGTTTTGAAATGCTTCTTTTCGATGTTTGATATGATTATTTCTTACAAAGTTACAGCTATATCTCAAATTTGTTTGAACAAAAAATAAATAATCATAGTATAATTTTAAAATAAACTTAAAATTAATCAAAGAAAATTTGCAAATTAAATAAAATGCACTTAATAAAAAATATTCTATTTAAGTAATGCCACTTCATCAACGCCCACGATATCTATAAAATTGGTTTGACTGCTCCAGTTCCTTCGTATTGCGTCTTGACTACTGCTTTGCTAAGTTCGACTATAGTATTTATAGACGCACATTCATGCTCTTACTTCGGCTCAAGAGAAACGAACATTCTATCCAACAAAATATATAAAAGAAGTTTACACTGATAAATTTTCTTATAAAGAAGAGAAAAAATGGCAAATACTGCAATACAGTTTTATGGTTCGCTCATTTACACTAATACCCTGTTATTAACAAAAAATAAAACAGTTTTTAAATCGTCTTAAAAAGTAACTGTATTAGCCAAAAATATTATTTGTTGCTACAATAAAATCAAATAAAATAGAAAAGAAAGAATTAACACTCTTTCTAAAATATTATTTTTGTTTCAATGTCATAAAAAATAGATTTTTTTATAAAAATAAAAGTGTTTTACTAATGAAATTTTTATTGTGCAACAACAATAAAGGTAATTGCAAGTATAAGAGGATATTTCAGAAAATAAAGATACAAAAATATATACAATATCTTCTAAGCACACTAGTGCTCAACTATATAACTATTTAATGCATAATTTTTTAGAAAATTTTTTAAAAATTACATTCCTAAAACTTTTATCATCTTTTCACATAAATACCACAAATATAATACATATATATATTTACGTGCAAATGCGATTATACATTATAAAAGATTAAATGGGTAACTGATAAGATAAATAATATAATAAAACTTAAATTAACGATTTATTTAAAACAAAAATCTAATCTAATATGCTATATAGAATGATATGAAAAATTACTGTCAACTATTTGTTTATTCACAAACACTTAAATGCATATATATACATTTGCTTTTGTTAAAATTCTGTATACTGTATATATACTATTACTTTTGACAGATTTCTATGGTCATTTAAAAACAAAAATTTTAATACCAAAAAAGGTTGCAATAGTTTTAAATGGAAAATGTTTAAAGTTAACCTCAAATCACTTAATTATCACTTAATTAACTAAACTAAATTAACTTAATTAAATATAATTTGCATTATTATTGAAATGATTTCATAAATTTATTTGCAATTTTTTTATAAATTTATTTTTATAAATTTTTTTGTTTATTATTTTTTTGTAAAATATTGACATTGGAACGCAATGTGCATCGAACTGTCAAAGCATTCACATGATGCGTGTCATAGACGAATGAGCGCGCGACTTTTTGACAATCTAATTGGTCAACTTTAAACATTTCGCATTTAAAAGCTATTGCAATGTCGACAATTTGGTATCAAGATTTTCGCCTCCAAATGACGATAGGTCAATCTGTATAAAAAATAAAACAAAATCAAAAAAAATGTTTTGGATAAAAGTTGTGTGATTTCAAAGCGGATTACTTTGCTATTAAAGTTTTTTCGGGTGGACCAGCCAAGTTATTTCAAGGTCAACTTGAATTTTTTAAATATAGAAATCCCAATTTTTTATTCCACAGCTCATATGCTGTGCATAGGATGCGCTCGCAGTTTTGATACAATTTAACAGTAATATATATAATTCAAATACACAACTGCCTCAATAAAATCGCGTAAAGTTTACAGCTTTATTATATCAGAAGCATTAATAATATTAAGATAACGATATGTGCAGAAAGTAATAAATGTACTTCAAAATTTAGTTATATCATACTGTACTCTGGCGTATTATGCCTAATGCTGTCTACGTGACATTAATGAGTTTAATTTAATTAATTTTACTTATTTTTATTTTAATCTACTTTTATATGACTTTTAATGTTTTCCGTGTAATTTAAATCTTTTCCTTCTTTTACATCCTCTTAAACTGAAAAGAGCTCGAAATTATGGCCAAAATGTATTTGAATTTTTGTGCGTTAATTTATAATATTTTTGCGCTCCCCATTATCCGTACTTCCGCTTTTATCGCCATTTTTGTTGTTTCTACAAAAGTATCTTTTTGTAATAATAAAAATCTTATATAGCAGTTTCTTATGTACTTAATTATAATTCTTAATGAAAAGTGCTTTAGACTGTTTTTTTTAATTTTTAAAAACAAAAAATAATAATCTTGATTCTTTTAACATTAATTTCAAATATTAAAATAAGCTGCTAGAGCTTATTTTTAAAAATTTTTTATCTTTATACTTCTGGACTCGAAAAAAAAAAACACTGTTTTGTGTCATAAAAATTATGTACCTTCAACACTCTGCAGCTCAATAATATATTTTTTTTTCGAAAAAATCATGGCAAGCGGCAAAAACTACGATTCTTTACCTACAAAATATGCGTTTAAAAATGTTCCTACGATTTTTTGGCAGAATTACGCAACTTTGAAGCAATAAATTCAACTACATTTTTTGTCTAAAAACTTTTGACCGACAGTATATGTGCACAGAGTGTTTTTGCGAGTAATAAGTTCTTGTTGATAAACAATTTTTTTTATATAATCTCACAAAAAATAATCCATTGCGATTGCTACAACTGTATAAATGTCTTTGTGGAGCACGGATCTCACAATAGTGAATGATATGATGGTCTGTAATGTCATTGACTTGGAAATCTTTCACGATATTGCCGTATCGTTTCTCTATATAATTCCTATGATATTCTTCCAACATTAAAATCACGTTCATCACTTACTGTGTACACTATTTTTTCAATAATCTCACTAATATATCATCAAAGTGATCTTCGAAACAATTATTTAAAAATGTGCCATAAAACAAGAAAATTATAAACAATTTATGATTTGAAAACATTGTCTGTTTATAAAAATAAATAGGAATATAAACATTATAGAACACACATAACTATACTGAGATCAATCAGTATTATTTCGCAACAATAAAATTTAAAATATTTCCTAAAGTAGTAAAGTTTTTCTTTAATGCTTTCTATAGAAAATAAACAACTGCATCAATTACTACATTAAAAAATATATATAGTTCCATTAAAAGAAAAAACAATTGGCCTTTATACTTCTTTTAAACTGCCATCTATAAAAAACGTAACCTATAAAAAATTCGGTTACAGCCTCTTTAAAATCATTTAACTTTTATTTGAAATATTTTTCAATATCACTAGTAGTTTCGAAGATATTAAAATGAATTGGTTTAAACGGAATACCCTATATTTCTGTATACTTTTGAAGACATATTTACCGGATGTTTCCAAGATGTGTATACTGTATGTTTAATTTTTACGATAATCTCTGCAAAATCACACATAGCTATATATAACATATATATAATAGCTGTCAGACAAAAATAATATATCAGATCAGAGTTATTTAAGTCATTTTGCATCTAAAAGTATGAACGCAACATAAAAATTAAATACTTTGAAAAATTTCATAGTTTATTGTAATCTGAAAAAAAATATAAAATATCTCTTAAATTTCACTTTTTAAGAAGCATGCCTTAAGAAACATACTTTAGAGAGCTTTTTGTCTAACCTACATAAGTGACATCATAATCATGGCAAGAGATTTTATATGCTATACCACATTGAGTTATGAGATTCAGAATGTCTGCAGTTTTTATAAATTGACAGCTTATTATAGCAAGAAAAGATCATTCTGAATATGCATTTCTTTGCTAAAGAAAGAAAAAATGCTGACACACGGAATCATGAAATACTTTTCATCTTCTTCCAACTTTACGTTGTCCGATACTTTTTTCTCCTTACGAATATGGAATCTTGATCTATCTTTAATTGTAGAAAAAATAAACTAAAGAGAATTTCCATTTGTTTAAAAGTACAATTTATGATTTCCTCCAAAATCTTTTGGCGAAATCTTGGATGAGATAACTGTAAAATCCTGTCAATCAATCCAATAATGATATCTTTTTTATGAGCCAAACAATGGTGAAGACAGAAAATCGAGTATCTATACAAAAAAATCAGCTTGTGGAACAAATAAGAAATAATCCTATTTTCTTCATTAATAATAATCTTTAAAAACTGATATGATTATCAATGCCAATTTCCAATGTAAATTGTAACCATTCATACAGTAAATTCAAGGTTCAGTAGAATTTCAGTCTAAAAAAACTGCAAGTATTATGTCGTCAACAGACACACACATATCTAAAATAAAATAAGTGGAGCAGGACGACCGTACAATCACAATTGATTAAAGATCCTGAAGAACAAGATCCACAATGATCAGAGATAAAAGAGGGTCCATAGGTGAAAGTAATAAAGATCTGTTTATAAATGGCCTTGTTAAAGATAAAAAAAGCAAAATGTAAAACCATATTTATAGCTAATTTCATTGAAAGTTCTTTCTGTTATAGATATGTTTTTACTAATCAAGTTTTGTCGTTTTAACATACTCTTTATAGCTGCATCAATAGGAATGTTACTAAATAAAGAAACCACATTAAGAAAATTTTTAATCAGATCCAATCATCTCTCTCATACTATTCAACCCTTTAACAAATAAAAACTGAAAATGAAAAACTGTTTTTGAATAATAGTGTATGAGTAATTGAGTAGTAAATACAAAAAAATTAATTGTAGATGAATCTATAATTCTGACAGGATTTCCAGATTTATGGAGCAAATCATAGGCTTCTGGAAATATCTCGGCACTCATTAAGAATTTATATATTCCTTGATGAGAAAATTTTGTTTCTTTTATCTGTATGTATAAACTGTATATACATAAATTTGTATGCATATACAAATAAGCCTTTGCATGTATGTACAAATAAATAGTATGTAGTATTTATGTGTGTGTATGTGTGTATTTTGTGTTTTTGTGTAGGCCTTAATATATAATTAAATCTACATTTGTGTTTAAATCACATTATACATGTATAAGTGTGCTTACATGCAGAGCAGAGCCACGCCGCGTACAGTTGCTAGCTATTACGTTGAGTTATTGCACCAAGCTTTCGTAAAATATCTTTTTCCTTTTATAACCAGCACTCACAACACACAAAACACAGACGAGATAGAAAGTGGACGTAAAACATGAAATCATGAGAATAACGCTTACATACTACTGAAATACTAGCGGACAATTCCACTATTCATGTAACACAAGTCGACCTATTTTGACTGATCGCAATGCAACTCGTCACAACAATGCAATTCTTCTATCGTCGATCACTCGGTTCGACTTAGTCCAACTAAATCAATTCAATTCATTCAGTTGCACAGCACGCACTAAGGCACACTGAGTCATGACCAATCGTAGCACGGCAGCAGCACATTTAGCAGTGACGACATCTGTGACAAATGCGACCCAACATAATCATACACCAGTATGACAAACATTCAAATAACAAAACTATGATATCAATATAGGCATCGATCATGTAATTTTTTCCCACGGACTAAGGAATAGAGGGACGGTGCACAAGCTGTACCGGGGGAGCACGTTTGCGGCGGGGGGGGCCGCCATATTCGTTTAGTAATCACCACACATAGAACTCACTATTTGCGTATATGTGAGAAATGAAAGTCAGATCCTGCGCACAATAAACAAAATGGAAATAGAAATAGAAATAATTATTAAATATTAGAAATAGAAATTGGAATTATTTATTTTAAAATAAAAAAATAGAAAAAATTAATGCATAAATTAAGAAATAAGAATTGGAACTAATTAATATATTTTATTCTCTTGTTAGATGTAAAATAATTTCTCTTTTTAATATTAAATGTTTATTGCTATTTCTAATATTTTGTCTATTGTATGCAGAGCCTCAGAGTAATAAAAGTTAAAGTATTTTATAAAATTTATAATACAACAATAATAAAATCGCCTAATCTCTTTATGCTTGTCACTCGTTATGTCTAGTGGCACCACTACACGAGTGTAACCATGTCACAGACACAGAATCTCTGTGTGAGAATCGCTACATCAATATGGCGGAAAGCAGTCCCCTCCGCACGCTTGAGTTACCATCCCCTCTCGCCTAAACTAGGACTTTAGACTCAGTCCCTCTATTGGCCGGAGCACAGACTTTTGCATAAAGCATAACGCATAAGCATAAGGAAATTGATTGGTCTATATATAAGCATAAGCAAATGCATAAGGAAATGGACCAATCAATTTCCTTATGCTTATGCGTTATGCTTTATGCAAAAGTCTGTGCTCCGGCCAATAAGCTGCTGCAACTCAAACTTGAGGTAGCTGATGCGTGTATTATGCGCTGCAGGTGGTGGGGATCTAGGGAATTCTAAGCGCTGTTCATGCGCGCATTGAGTGAAACGGAACGTTTTCTATGTAATTCGTGCGCATAATGTGCGAAACGGAACGCAACCTCACAGAATCAGTTTGGCGATGTTAATAGCGTTTTCGATTATACAGGATTTGAACGACCCAGGGTTGATCAATCACTATTTTACTATAAATGCAAGTCTTTCATTGGTGGAG